AACACATGAAGCAACCAATTAAGGTCTTCAGGATCACTTGAACATTAAAGGCAGGTGTGTGTGATTAGGGTTGGAGATGAACTGTGCAGGACAGTCGACCGGTAAGAGCAGGGTTGGGCACCCCTGAACTAAACAGAGCATTACAGACAGCTTTGGAAGTGAGGTTCTGCAATAATGTAAAATTTGACAAAAATAATATGGATTTTTTCAAACATTCAAGAAAACCCCAAACCCCAGTAGACCCTAAAAACAAAATCATGAAAAAGGACGTATAGATCCTCTTTAAGACCATGCATCAAGTGAAAACTAACTTTCCATGTTCCATTTCATTTCACTCCATCTAGCTGTTTTTAACACAAGAGCCTCCTAAGAAGCATACATTTGACAGAATAAAAATAAAACAACAAGAATATTACAAAATATGAGATATTATGAGAGCGATTTACACGGTAGTGCCTCCACGTTACTGTGATTGGCTGATTCTTCTGTCATTAGGATAATTCTGCCTATATTATATTTGCAAATGGTCCACAACCAATAAGTAACTTTTTACACAACTCAGTCATCAAGTTTGGTCACATCTAAATCTGAACAAACTTGAAATTATGGATTCAATATAATATTTTGGTTATGAGACAATTCTTTTTTTACATACATTTAATAATATTGGTCGATATTGAATATTTAAACATATAGTTTCCCTAGTTTTACATTGAGATTACCTTTGCCGTAATCTAACACTCACTTGAATAACTGTCAATGCAACCCGGTCTCATCCCAAGACGTCATATTACTGACGTTTTGGGACGTCTTTTGACCATACGTCAATATTCGCCTTTTTAGGGCCCCCTTAAACGTCGGTAGATGAGGTTATGGGATCCTAACTCTACCCCATACCTAAACCTAACCCTAAACCTAACCCGTCACCTAACTGACGTTAAAGGTAAAGCGTCAGTTGTATGACGGCCCGGGATCGCCATCTACCGACGTTTAAGGGGGCCCTAAAAAGGCGGATATTGACGTATGGTCAAAAGACGTCCCAAGACGTCAGTTATATGACTTTTTGGGATGAGACTGTGTTAGTCAATGGCAATGCAATCTTAAGCAAATATTAAAATGACATGATATTTTTATATGTTATGTCATCTTACTTTTAGGCTTTAAAACAATTTAAGTTGTTTGAGTTTTTATTATTAGCCTATTTATTTAGGCAAAATAATGTGGAATTTTAATATCGGTTATATATCGGTCATCAGACATAACATGAAATTGATTATTGGCGTATCGGCTAGAACTAGTTCATTATAAAGCAGGGTGTATCAATGAGTTAAACGGCCCCCAAAGGCTTGTGCGGAGTGGGAGAAATCTGGCAGCGAGCTCCAGCCCTCATGAAGAGGAGTGTTGTAGAGAATCACGGCTGACAAGTGTGTTTCACCGTTGGCCTGAGCTCAGCGTGGGCTCAGAATATACTCATCAGCCACCTGCTGGAACAGCATTCTTACAGTTTAATCCTTCAGAGAGGTCAGGGGGCAACACACCATGCATGCACACTGACTAAGCAGACCACACCAATACGTCATGTGGACGACGCCAGCATCTAATAACCAAAGTCTTACAAACAGTAATCCGCAGCTGATTTCAACACAAACTAATATGTAACTGGAACAGAAATACATGGCAGGTCATGACATTTCTAAATTGTCAAAAAATTGGAAAATTATTTTTGACATCACGTTAGGGTCGAACTCAATCAGAGCACATAGAGGATGTGAGAGCAGACTACAGGATGAATCGTGGCTAACCCAAGCTTTGGAGTTCTGCTCTCATTTGACTGTACACTGTACAGTTGCTGAAGAAAAAGTTCATATTTAAGTAGAATCATCTTGGATGTTTAAGTCAATTTAACTTAAATTAGTTGAATCTTGTAAAAAAAAGGGCTCAACTTTTTTTGATGAGTAAAGCATTGTAAAAATACATGTTCACTCATATGGAAAATTGTGATAATATACTCAGAACTCATATAAATTTCTTTCTTAACACTAACATTTAATCAAACCATTAAAACAGAAACCAGGAAATTGAAAATGCAACACAGAGCATAAAGCACTTTACAAAAACAGCATCAAAATATTTGGTGATTTTCAATTCTGAATATTGCTAAATCCTTTTTTTTTTTTTTTGATTATTTTCAGTGAATCAGATTTTAATTGGTTTGATCAAAAGAGACAGTAAAAGACTGTCAATTTCAATTTCAAATAAAAGCTATTCTTTTAAATGTTCTATTCAAAGCATCCTAAAAAAATGTATTAAGGTTTTCAATAAAATATTAAGCAGCACAACTGTTTCAGCATGATAATAACAAGAAATGTGTCATGAGCAGCATATCATAAAATGATTTCTGGAGACTAAATTGATGCTGAAAATTCAGCTTTACCATCACTGGATTTAAATTTCAAATAGGAAACAGTTATTATATATAATTGAAAAATTATTCCACGATATTAGTGTTTAACTGCATTTTACTCAAATAAATGCAGCCTTGGTGAGATTAAAAGACTTTCCAAAATGTTACAAAAAATTAACTGACCCTTTTGAACGCTTGTGTACATACAACAGTAATGTTGTTGATTACTTAATAGATTTTGTAAGTTGATAAGTTAGGCCTTCAGCTGTTCTTCATTGCATTTTAAATCTCCAAAACGTATTAAATCTCCTCTATCTGTGCCTGTCCTAAATCTGCCATAAATTCAACACGATACATCAAAGACTTCACAAGCTTCAGTCGAGCCAGCTGACCGTCTGCTGCTTTGGTTTCGAATTCAAAACACACCCCAAAGCAACATTTCTCAAGCACATTATAGGCGGTGCAACTATACCTCTCACTTTTCAGGTGTCTTATGGGACACATTTCCTGACTGACATGTAGCATATATTGACAAGTAACAAGTAAAACGACTGCTGTCAGCAACTCAAATTACACCAAAATTGAGGAGCGCCATTAGCTATACATCAATAAAAGATGTGGAGGGAGAGCTTGTGCTCCCGAACTAATTTGAAGAGATGCAATATTTCGCGGGAGGCAACAAAACCCTTCATATCAAGAACCAAAATTACATTTTCTTGGCTTATCTGGGCCTCACAGTCTGCTCTTTTACCTCCTGTGACAAAAAAAAAAAAAAAACCCTATCAACAGTCCTTCTTGCTCTTTCATCCTAATATTGGTGTCTTCACGCAAATTTTCCTCCAACTTTCTCATTTCGCTGTCTCATCTCAAGTCATTTCTCTTTCAGTATCATTTTATTCACCTTCATCACGTCGCTCCACCCATTCCTGACATTGTCATTTTTTCAATTTGTCCCTCCACATCTTTCACTTTAACTTGGTCTCTTTGTTCTCCTCTTTTCTTGCAAGAAGAAAGTATTATTTCTGAAAATGGTCAGCCAGTTACGCATGTCGATAATCAACCCTGCTGGGTTTGCCAAGGAAAAATTGACCATAACTGCTGCTATACAAGTTGAAAGTGATTTCACATATTTGAGACAGGCGGGGAGTCGGGCATGAAAAGAACAAGGGTAAAGGGAGAAAAATTAGATAATTATACAGGAGAAACCCCAATATATATAGGTCTATCAACAAATCATGCATAACTAGCCTAGCTCATGCATATAGAGCTGTCTTATGTCTTCAAGCTTAGTATAAGGTTGAGATATAAGAGCTGATCACGAACCAGTGCTGCAATCACTGTACTCTAAAAGCTCATAAGAGCAACAGCAATCTGCACCAAAATTGAACCTTATAATGCCACAGTGACATTACAAAAAACACAAGAGGCCTTGCAGGAAAGGTGCCAAAAGCTCAGCATTTGGAAAGGTGCATGGCACAGAAAAGGTGAAATTGTATGGGGGGAAGCATCTGGTATTCTTTAATTGCAATAAATGGAAACTGGAGATTAAAAAGATGTAAAAGTGACCAATTTCTTCAAGATTTTTTTGATGAGAAGGAAGAACATATATATTTTTTTCAATGCAAGTATAGTCAAAGTCTGTTCACTTCAGTCTCCATTCATTGCGATGGAAATGAGCAACTGGTACATTTTCTGCTTTTGTGTTTTACAGAAGAGATAAATGTATATGGGTTTGGAATGACATGAAGGTGACTAGGGTGGCTATGAACATATGTGAACAGTGTTAATGTGAAGCTTGACATTCAATTCTATTCTTTAGATCTTTCGGTCAACTCGATCAACTGGAGCAACTTTTCGGCCGCATCATGAATAGCAAAGTGTGAAATTTCATCGTAGGAATCTTTATGGTTTGCTGGAATTTGCCTCAACCATAAAAAAATACCAACCCCAAACTGGTCGCTCACTATAGTTAATAATCACTTTCAGAAATGGATAACAACCTTAAATGTTACTAATAAGACTCCTTGATTAAGTCATCAAAATAAGCCCCTCATGGCAGAAGCCAAAAACGAGTTTGTTTCAACAGGTGGAGGAAAAAAAGGGACTGCGGTACAACAGTGTGAAGCCCTTCCTGTTGTGTTTGCACCTGTTACAGAGTCTAAATGAATAAGAAGTCTGAAAACAAACACCCTGCTGCACTCACTCACATGTCCTCCCACAGAACTTATTTATCTTGAGAAATAAATAAGTCAACCGTGCAGCAGAGAAGCAGAACACATTTATTAAGTATATGCTAGCGAGGAAGTGCAGGGATATGATTATGCTAGCAACTATTATGAAACACCTTCTCAATAGTGCTTTCACAAAAGGATGCAGGTAGGAGGTAAGTAGGTGGATGGCCAGAACAACTGTTGACTGACCTCAAATTAGGTTTGTGACTGAGTTCAGGTGCGTTTCAATTGTAGTTGCGTCATAAGACCAGCAGGAATCAATGACAAGAAGGATATGAATATAAAGCACATACTAAACATTAAGTGTGACTATTAGCGAGGCAAAACAAGTGAGTATAAATAAATCAAATAAAAAAAACATTCACCGCTTGCGTTCTTGCCACAAATGAGGTGCTGGTACGGCTGCAAGAGACCCCACAGCTCCGAATCGTTATTTATGGCCTGTTCCAGGGACTCCAGTGAAAACTTTGGCACTCCGTTCTCCTTCTCCACCAGCGCGCTCCTCTGCACACGGCTGAACAGCTCTCTGAACAGGCTCTCCATACAGGCGCACAGGTAGATCGCCGCGTGCTCGTGAATGCGCAGGGCCACCCGGCTATCCACCATCCACCTGAAGAACTTCCCAACGGAGAAGACGAGTCCGCATCTGGCATTTTTGCCCCGGCTGAACTTATCACCCGTGCTCATGTTGTAAAGCGACAGCGCGCTGAGCGCCGCAGTGATGCAGTTCACGGAGATGGTCCACGAGAGGACCATTTTGATGGCGCTCTGGATCTCGTGCTTCGTGCATCTGGCGTAACGCAGGCTCAGGCGCTGAGCCTCTCGGGCGATCCTCACCAGCGCGCGGCTGACCAGCGCGGAGAGCTTGGCTAGGATCTCCCGCGACGCGTTCCCCACGCACAGCTCCTCGTCTTTGCGCAGCGCGCCTTCCACCTCTCCAAGACTCCACGGCACGTCCTCCTCCAGCTCGGGCAGTTTAGCGCACTGGCCCGAACACTCCAGGATCTCCGTGTCTTCCGCCAGGACGGTGTTGACCGTGTCCAAACTGTTGTGTCTGCTGTGCATGGATTCAGTCAGATGCCAGCAGTTGCCCCCATGCGCGTACGAAAGATGCGTGTCCGAGCAACAGAGCGACACGCTGGACGACCTGAAGGAATCCGCTGCTCCACCATAACCGGAATCGAGCGTTAAATCCTCCAGCGTCCTCGCCGCTGTCTTACCCTTGCCTGCCATGGCTGCACCTCATAATGTTAGGCTTATGCCTGATATTTTAAAGAAAACCCAAAGCGCGTTCCCGTGGCGCGCCCTATCCTCGGAGCAGTATATAGGAATGTATTGCCACCTAATTTCACGAGCAAACACCAATCTGCAAGCTTGCGTAATAACAATTCGTTTAATGTTTTTGGTAAGTCACCAGAAAAAATGTATAGATCTCCACCGCGCGCCTCTGCTCCCAACTTCGCGTGCGTAATTCGAGAGCTCAAAACGCCTTCACCAACCACCACTGCATCATTCCCTGCGAAACCACTCATTTAGGGAGGAGCTATGCAAAGACACTCACAGGGGAGGGATTGTATATATAAATCACTTTTATGGAAGGAGGGAATATGCAGAAAGAGAATTCCTCATCAAATCAACGGGCTCCAAAACTACATGGGTGCTTTATATTTAGTGTCTTAAAATAATAGCGTCTTCAATAAAACTATTATATAGATTTTATTGGAAAATATTCATATATGTCCAAATATGCAGATAAATATATTTATTAACATGATCACACAAAGGGCACCCCATAATCGCTTCTAAACACTCTTCTTTCTTACCATCTCGACACCCTTCTCTTTAGCCTGAGGATGTTTACGCGATGATTCTGAAATGTGCAGATCAAAGCAATCTCTTGCACAGCTTCTGTACCTTTCATCTGTTTCAAACCATTTAAAATGTAACTCCAATTATTCCAGAATTATCAAAAAGTTCTGGAACGAAACAAGCACGGTATACGAGAATGGGTTTAAACACGTCTAAGCGTTGGGTGTTTAACTATGCAAGGGTTATGGCGTGAAAAAAAAAAAAAAAAAAAAAACTAATTGTTTTGCAGAGAGAAGCCTTGCAATCTGTCTCCTTGTAAAGTTCATTTTTAATACGCACAAAGAGAACGCCTTAGAGTTTGGTGCATTGGTGGAGAATTGTTGCGTATCTGGTGCCCTCTATAGGTGATATTGTGTAAATATCCTTTATTCTGTACCTCACTAGTTGTTCTAATCACATTATTGCTCTATTCTCACATAAAATATCAAACGTGTAAAAAAAAAAAGTAAATAACACCACTATAAGAAAATTACTGAATCACTAAATATCATGCAAAACATGATGGTGCAACATTCAGCAAGGCTTGTGAATATACCGAAATATGGCATCTATATTGACAACATTCAATCTTTGTATGTTTAATTTCAGTTAATCAATTCCACATACTTTAATTACCTTATATGCACCATGCATATGAATAAATCAGTGGGCAGGCTGGGATGCAGAGTTTGTCCTTCTTAATTGAGATATCTCCTTCACATGTTCTTCCATGACTGCGTGTTGCCTGGAAACACAAAGGCGACAATGTATATGGTTCTTATGTATAAATCACATAAGAATTCCATCTTCTGGATACACAGAAACCATTATGGTTATATCAGGATAAAAAGAACAAGTATGAATAAGAAATGTGTAATTAAGTCCAGATCTCCAGGTTCATTCCTCATCTGGAAGGTTTAATTTGGTTATACAAATACCCAGTATAATGTTATATGCTTGGCGATAAATTGCACAACTAACTTCACACATTTTTCAACATACCATTTCACTGGAATGGCAAAATTCATACATAAATAATGCTGCATAGAAAGAAAAACGAAGGTGCTCCACATTGAGATGTAGCCATTTAAATAAAATGGAAGCATTATTTTAGTGGGAATTTAAATAGATTAAATATACACTGAAAAAAAAAAAATAATATATATATATATATATATATATATATATATATATATATATATGCTTTATCTAATCAATAAAATTGTGGCAACATATTACAAGCAATATTATTAATTAAATTGTACAAATTAGAATTAATTAGAATGTTAATTTTATTAACTATTACTCAATTCTAATTTGTTCAATTTAATAAATAATATTGCTTGTAATCTGTTGCCACAATTTTATTGATTAGATAAAGCATATTCATTTTTACAGTGTATGACGTTTGGAATTTGGATATACTTAAAAAAAGAAAATTCTTTGCCAATTCAATTATCCAGTGAGGCAAATAGAATTATTAAATTTATTGTTCAAATGAGCTAAATAATTACATGCTTTTATGATAGTGTAACACATATTTAATAACATATTGAATTACAGACATGTAGACATGTAACATTAAATAATTCATAATGGGGTGATCTGATTTTTATGCTTCTCAGACATATGCTCTTCTATAAAGGACATCAAAGCTTATTCACTGATGAAGGTCTGAACTGAAAGAGGGTTGGAATATACACATATCAGGTATTTTCTTTACTGATGATCAACCCTCGATAACAAATCATGCTTTCTAAAATAGCTGTGCTTATAATGCTCACGCTTAGTCCTTGCCAAACCTGTAAGATATTTAGCATTTTTTTAAAACATGAGTGATCATAAATGGTTGCATTACATGCTCAAAAAGGCAAAATAACTGAAATTACAACAATTATCTTCAAAGGTGCACACATCCTTGGTTCACAATATAATGTGTTAAATGTGCAGAGTATGCTGGGAAAGCAAAGACCTTTCAGAGCCTGAATGTTTTATTTTTATTATTTTTATTTTTTTAAAGAAGGTTAGCTGTAAACAAACCAGGGACTATTAAAACGCATAACTCGACAAGTGCAATTTAGTTGTTCAAAATGTAAAATTATTCAAAGAGGCCATCTTACCCCACTACCCGGGTAAGTTGACCCACTACCTGGGGTAAAAAGCTGCCCTGGCTAAACTTTTACAGCACGTATAATTGACTTAATATCATTCAATATTTATAGATGTGTCATTAAATAAAATAGTTAATTTAGTATTTTACCAATGACAGAAAAAGCAGAATTCCAGTAAAAGAGATTCATCTGAAAGGTAAAATTATTCTGTGACTGACTTACATAGGCATATGAGTATTTATTTACATATTTAATTACCCATATTTTATTAGAAGATGTGTCATAACACTATGAATGCAAATTGAATGATTTCACTCAACTAACCAAGGTTTTAATGAAAGCAAAGATGTCTGAAATGTACATCTAATTGGTGGAAATACTGAATAACAACAGCATTAATTACAATAATTATTAAATGTAAAAATAATAACACTGGTAACAACATGCCACTTAGGGCCTTCTATGCCAATTCTTCTGAGGTCATATACCCAAGGGTCTAAATCTTTTTACTTCCAAATAAACACAAGAAATTTTACTCCACAAATCTAAAAACATTATTGTGTCCACAAATACCTCATCAACAAATAGACACAAAAAACTTTGATATTGAACATAATCGAATATCACTATTTTTCAGAAACACAAAATTGGATCAGTCAACCTCAAAACTATTTCGACTGACTAAATCCCACATATGTTGATATTCGGATGCAAGTCATAAATTAAAAACAGCATAGCAATTCATTAAAGGTTTTGTCATATATGGCTTAAAAATTATTCACATCATGCAGAGACCCAAGTACAATAACTGTATGCATGCAAAGGACTGAGCAGAAAATACATTTCTGCCAACACTTCTTTTACACTTCTTGCACAGCTCAACAGCGCCACGCGCTTCAGCAAAGAACAGCGCACGGACACGAGCTTGATCATGTCGCTTCTCATGTGCCTATCCGGGTACTGAAGCTCCAGCCAATCCGCTTCAAGTATTACACTTAACTGTCCTTATGGAGTGGAAATGTATAAATCAAGGCTTGCAGTGTTTAAATATAAGCAAACCGAGCAGAGTTTGCATAGACATGATTTGTAATAATTCTATGCATTTATTAATAGTTTTGATATAAACAATAACATTTTGACATTACTATTCCATGAATATTAACATAAACGATAAAGATTAATCTTCATTTACATTATGCGATGAATTATGCATTTTTATAAAGTATAACAGTGTAGTCATCACACCAAGATATCACCAAAGAAACGTGATTGAGGAGCAGCAACGTCATATTAGGGCTTGACAAACCAGAACGCGCTACTTCATGTGCGCAATCACTGAGGTGGAGCTTAGTCGACACAGACTGAATTGCATGGACGAAAGTGTGGAACCTTCTCCGTGGGAAAATATTTACAAGTTTACGTAACTTTGAAGGAAAACAAATCAAGACAAGGATACCTATTACGTGGCGTCATTTCATGCGGGATACTGCTTTATTTTACAGCCTGTAACGCGGTTACGAGGGTCTTGAGCCCATATTGATATTTACATAACTGTGCTGATTCGGGCTCACAGTAGGCTAACGTCACGTCGGACTCCGTTGACTTCGGCTGGAAGACCACGCGCATTGAGATTGAATATAACTCAAAGCTGAAGTTGCTCTACATGCGAGATATAAACATGTACATTATTTTTGTTTTTTTCGGATAATTCTGAAAAACAAGTTATACAACAGGGAAGCGTAATTTGCGTTGCGCCCTGGTCCTAAAGCCAGTCGTGTATCCGGCTGTTGCGCGGTTATCCAGCTCGTGTCCCAATGCTTCAACTGTGGTCGCGTTCCAAATCACTAGACATAATGATGGAAAGTGTTTTGTTAGAGCAAGGCTAATTATTCCCGGAGATATCCAGAATAATTTGTAGTTTTTCATTTATAACTTGGTGACTTTATTACAATATTTGTCGTTTTTTACGCATTTGAAAGGAGTTTCTTCTTTGGAGTGCAGTAGAGCAACGTGAAGGAGGTCTGATACGTATCACACCAGCACACTAAAAACGGTTAAAGGGACTTGAGTGGAGTAATGGTGGTAAATACGGTCCATTGGTTCAGGAAGGGCTTGCGGCTCCACGATAATCCATCACTAAGAGACTCCATCCAGGGAGCGCACAATGTCCGCTGTGTGTACATCCTTGACCCCTGGTTCGCCGGTTCGTCCAACGTCGGGATCAGCAGGTGGAGGTAATGGATCAAATATGCCAAATAATAAAATATAGGCCTATGCGCTTGGAAAGCATTGCAAGATCTTATTAAGAGTGCTGTGCTATAAAGGATGACACACTGACACTTTCCAAATTACTATTACATTATTGTATGATTGATCGATTCTGGTCTAAACTTTTCCATATTAATCCTATTCTACTTAGTCTATTCCTATTCTCTTAAAGTCTAATTTAGTTCTGGATCCAATCCATTTTAATAATCTATAGTTTATTACCAGTCTAAAAAGTATAGTAATAACAACATGCATGACTTATGGAATTTTAACAAAGGCATTTTTCCAGATTTATCAGATATCAATTAGTGGTTTTACAGACAAAAATGAGTGACTGATTGGAGTCAGAATGTATTACAGTATGTCTTATTATCAAAGGGAAACTAGGCTAGGCTATGTTTTGTAACTTTTTTGAGTCTTTGAGCACGAGTCATCAGGTAATATTAATAAAATCATTTTTCTTTTAAAGATGAAAGATTTTCACTATACATTTGTAGCATTTGCCTTAGTTCTGTTTGACGCAAGCAATATTACATAATACAGCCCCTTGCATCAGTTAACCACACCCATGCTTGCTATACTATAGAGTTGATCCATAAACAAAAGTTATGTTATTTACTCACCCTGATGTCGTTCCAAATGGTTTGACATTACACCGTTGAACACAAAAGGAGTTTTGAAGAATGTTATTAATGCTGTCTCTTCCTTGCAATGAACGTGGGTGAGAACTTGGGACTGCATGTAAACTGCAAGAAAAAGACAAAATAAAAATTGTCAGCACGTGAACTGATCTCCATTGTGTTGGGCTCAGAAATGGGTCAGTGTGTTATATTGAGTGATCGTAATGACTTCTACAATAATGCTAACGTAGTGACCTGTTATGGTATCAAAATAAGCTCTGATCAGACCCATCTAGTTTACATGAACTGGGGAAAATAAATGGGTGACATTTAAATTATATAAAATAATAAACTAATAAAAATATGCCTGTTTGGTTATTGCAAGTGTATTTGCTGCATTCTGGCTCTGTATAGTGTGATTTATGTATGTTGTTAAAATATTGATGGGAAAAATATACATATACACACATACTAAAATATGTTGTTCTGCACCTATATAACTGACTGCTACTGTAACGTGCACCACAAACTTGATATACTTCAATTTCACATTTGAACTTGATGCACTGTATAATCTCTGCAATCATTACAACAATACTGCAGCTAGTCATAACATGACACTGCGGTCAATCATAGGGCAGCGAGTCAGTGGCTTAGATGGGGATTTACACATTATCACTGACTGCAAGTAGAGGACACTGTTTCTGTGAGGACATGTGGAGCGGGCAGGATGGTACAACAGTATGGAAATAAAAGGACAGAAGTTTTTGGTACAGCATGAATCATTTGTAAACATTTATGTAGTAAGGTCCAAAACTGAGAGAGGTCAGGATTATGTTTAGTTATTTTATTCAACTAAAAACTGACAACTTTTTATACTTTTTAGCTGTTCATTACTTCATTTACATGACAATGGCATGTTTCGGGCCTGAAAATGCAACAGGTTTCAAGGCACAAGTTTTTGAAAACAATACAACTTATCGTAACTACAAAAACACAAATGTGTGGAATGTTACCGTTTTTACTATATTTTTGATTAAATAAATGCAGGTGAGCAAAAAAGACTTCTTTAAAAGATCTTACCGACCAAAAACACAAATTTCTACTAGGGCTGTGAAACGATTAATCGCGATTAATCGCATCCAAAATAAAAGTTTGTGTTTACATAATATATGTGTGTGTAGTGTGTATAATTATTTTGTATATATAAATACACACACATGCATGTTATATATTTAAGAAATATTTGCATGTATGTACTTTATATACATTTATACAAAATTAATATTATACATAAATATAAATATTTGATATTAACAACACATTTTTTGTCAAATATACACATGCTGCATATGTACGGAGGCGTATTGCATTCACTTGAAGAAAAAAAATCTACTCTGTTTTTCTGAATTAACGAGTTAATTTTTCATGAGAAAAAAAATTTGCTCTGTTTTTCTGAATTAATGAGTTAATTTTTCATGAGAAAAAATTTTTTGCTCTGTTTTTCTGAATTAACGAGTTAATTTTTCATGAGAAAAAATTTTTTTGCTCTGTTTTTCTGAATTAATGAGTTAATTTTTCATGAGAAAAAATTTTTTTGCTCTGTTTTTCTGAATTAATGAGTTAATTTTTCATGAGAAAAAAAGTTTTTGCTCTGTTTTTCTGAATTAATGAGTTAATTTTTCATGAGAAAAAAGTTTTTGCTCTGTTTTTCTGAATTAATGAGTTAATTTTTCATGAGAAAATTTATTTTTGCTGTTTTTCTTAACTCATTAATTCAGAAAAACAGAGCAAAAAAAAATTCCATTAAAAATTAACTCATTAATTCAGAAAAACAGAGCAAAAATTTTTTCTCATGAAAAATTAACTCATTAATTCAAAAAAACAGAGCAAAAAAAATTTTCTCATGAAAAATTAACTCGTTAATTCAGAAAAACAGAGCAAAAAAAATTCTCATGAAAAATTAACTCATTAATTCAGAAAAACAGAGCAAAAAAAATTTTTCTCATGAAAAATTAACTCGTTTATTCAGAAAAACAGAGCAAAAATTTTTTTTTCTCATGAAAAATTAACTCGTTAATTCAGAAAAACAGAGCAATTTTTTTTTCTCATGAAAAATTAACTCGTTAATTCAGAAAAACAGAACAGATTTTTTATTCTTCAAGTGAATGCAATACGCCTCCGTATAAGAGCTGCCTGATAAGTCTTTTTGGTTTTGTGTAAATTTACAACTAACATGATTTGGGTAGTCGATTCCAATGAATGTCTTAGTGATAAAGTATGGGAATATTATCTGGTCTGCTCCCAAAACTCGCCTCTCATAATTGCAGAAAATTTGCATAAGTTAATGATGCTGCTTACCCATGCAAACCTGCTGCCATGATTTTCGGGCGTCACCAGGGTATTTTTATGTGTTTACTAGGTTGTTTGTTTATGGTTTTTAGGAACAAAATAGATTTTGCAATAAAATATTACAAAACTGTCCTGTCAAGACACATTAAACTAGTGTCTGCTGCCTCTGATCTGCACTAAGACCCAGACAGGAATCCTTGAAATGCATATTACATAACATTCTTTTGTCTGACTGTGTCATTCCCACATCGTTTTAGAGAGATTCAATTTGAGATCGAATATTACTTGGCCAGGATTACTCAAGGTAGTCTGGGGGTTGAGAAGAGGTTAGCTTTGGAGGCTGGAGATTTCCCCTTACTCAGCATTTAAGGTTGAGATCTTTAATGTGTGAACCTGCAGACAATAGGATTTGGGTTTCTGGGTCAACAACACACTGCATCGTGGCCAAGTGCCCTTCAAATTGCTGCTGCTTGCTATTTGAAAAGATCCATTGGGTTTCCTGCACTACCTTTAACAGCACTACATCAAAAATTGTTCTGTACGATTCACGATCAAATTGCTCACATGGCGTGGTTCATAATGAGCCAATGGGCGAATCAGACTGAAATATTAAAGTCTTCATATCAATCATGGACTGAATCATTCAGAGACAACTCACTGTTTCACTGAATAAACATATTATCCAATTATTCAGTTTATCACAGTTGCCACTGTTACATTCTTTTATCTTTACATTCATCTAATTTGGCAGATTACTCGTCTAGATTGTTGATGGGATGAGAGATGAAATATTCCTCAAATAGTGCAACATTGTAGTCTTACACTGAAGGAGGGAATCAAAAAAATTCTTATGTGAGACTCATGTGGCCTATTTTTGACTTTGACTTGGCATAGTAACACATAAACACCACTCAGAACACATTAGCGCCCTTGTATCAATGCACCAGCAACCATCCACAGCTTTCTGATGGCAAATTTTACACATGACTGCACTGCTCATAGTAAGAACTTGGTGCTAGCAATGCCAAGGATGCATCATTTTAACGGTTGTTAAAGGGTCATTGGAGTGCATGATCAATTGATGCACAATGCAAGCTACATAAGGGCAGCAGTCTGTTTTAATGGCAGCCCTCTGCTTAATAAAAATCAGTTTCTTTCACTGTAAGCATGGGTCTTTGCAAGTAGTACTCATGTCAATGGTGTCAAGCTGACTCAGGCATTATGTATTATGTATTTTCCACAGCAAATAATATATATATATATATATATATACAGTATATATATATTGTCATAAATAAAAAATTAAAAAATGGGTGATGTTTCTAATGTGCTGTAGCTTCAGCAAGTAATGATCTCTAATCATATCCATTATTCTGTCAGTGGAGTTATTTTTTACCCTATCCTTGTTCAATGCCTTGCCTTCTTTGAAATGTTTTATAGTTGCACAGTGCAATAGCCCTGCAATAGTTATTTTAAGTAGACCTATCTTATTAGACTTAAATTATGTGCAGTGCATGATATTATTTGTCAGTATGTGGCTATAAATACATGTCATGTCTCTTGTTGCTCAGGTTTTTACTGCAGTGTTTGGAAGACTTGGATGCCAGCCTCCGCAAACTAAACTCACGACTCTTCGTTATCCGTGGCCAACCCACCGATGTCTTCCCCAGGCTGTTTAAGGTCCAGCTTTCAATTTGCAATTTCAGTTGACTGAATTTATTAACCAGGAAAATATTTCTGGATTGGATGGAATAGAATTTAGGCAATATATATATATATATATATATATATATATATATATATATATTATCCTTTAAATGTGACACTTTACATCTAATCTTCCATACGTTTTGTGACTTGGCTCTCTACCACTATTGTGTGCCGATGGATGAATCTTTTGTTATTGTAACATGTCCAGGAGTGGAATATTACTCGTCTGTCCTACGAGTACGACTCGGAGCCATTTGGAAAGGAGCGAGATGCAGCCATCAAGAAGTTGGCAAATGAGGCAGGCGTGGAGGTGATTGTTCGCATCTCTCACACGCTCTACGATCTGGACAAGTACGTACTTCTAAATTCATCCAACTTTGTCAGAACTTTTGCCTCATAATTACTTTCTTTGTATTAATTGACCCTACACCAACCTCCAAAAACTTGCACTTTGAAACCCATTTTCAAAAATTTGAGATTTCAGGCCCCCAAAACACTGTTGTCGTGTAAATGAACGGCCAAAATGTATAAACCATTTTCAGTTTTTAGTTGAAAACTGTAACGTAAAAGCCCCCTAATTGATTTTGGAGCAGTAAACTTAATGATATTCTCGAGATATAGCCCGTATACCTTCTCTGGCTGTCTTATATCAGCATTACAATTGCCTCTGCAACATTTTATCATATTTTTAGATAATGTTTTGTAAAATGATGTTTTTAACTACTCAAACGCACAGAATTACCATAGATTGACATTAGAAAAATTGAGGTCATTTTTAAGGCAGGGCTTAGCGAAAAAATCAACTGTAAAGACTTTTTTGTTGTCTTACTCACTGGTGGATTGTTGTCTCTCAGGATCATTGAGCTGAACGGAGGCCAGTCTCCGCTCACGTACAAGCGCTACCAGACCCTCATCAGCAGGATGGAGTCTGTGGAGATCCCGGCAGAGACCATCACAGCAGAAGTCATGGGGGCATGCACCACTCCTGTCTCGGATGACCACGATGAGAAGTTCGGGGTTCCTTCTTTGGAAGAACTTGGTCAGTCTGGAAAAAAAATAATAATTACAAACTGTCTTTAAGTTTAAACTAAAGGCTTTGATTTAAAAAGTGAAATTGTTAATGCTTTCCCTGAAACAGGCTTTGACACAGAGGGCCTGTCCTCAGCCGTGTGGCCTGGAGGAGAAACAGAGGCCCTCACTCGTCTAGAGAGGCACCTGGAGAGGAAGGTTAGAGACACTCCATAATCACACAACTGTAGGATTAATAATATTGGCAAAAAAAAAACAGATTATAGATGCACAATCCTTCTTTAATATATATACTTTATGACTTTAAATAAAAGCAATTAAGTCATAAAGTGAAATTTGAACACAAATATACATACACATATATACTGATCCCAAACCTTTGAGTGGTAGTGTATGTTTGCCATTTAAATAACTTGTTTAACAACATCACAGATAACTAAATGCTATGGTTGTAAGACAAACTAGCCCCTGGCCATCCTTGTTGAGTGCGGTCAATAAATTATTATTTCATTTAATTGTAAATACCTTTTTTATAGGCTTGGGTGGCCAACTTTGAGCGTCCAAGAATGAATGCCAATTCACTGCTAGCCAGTCCCACTGGCTTAAGTCCGTATTTAAGATTCGGCTGCCTCTCCTGTCGACTCTTCTACTTCAAACTCACAGACCTCTACAGAAAGGTCAGTAAATCATCATATGTTCAAATGATGTTTCTAATGTTAAACTGAATAATCACTTACGCTAATTACACTTTTTCCCTACAGGTCAAAAAGAACAGCTCACCTCCTCTGTCCCTTTATGGCCAATTACTGTGGCGCGAGTTCTTTTACACGGCCGCCACCAACAACCCACGCTTCGACAAGATGGAAGGCAACCCCATTTGTGTGCAGATCCCGTGGGACAAAAACCCAGAGGCTTTAGCCAAGTGGGCTGAGGGCAGGACGGGTTTCCCCTGGATCGATGCCATCATGACCCAGCTGAGGCAAGAGGGCTGGATCCACCATCTGGCCCGACACGCAGTCGCCTGTTTCCTCACCCGTGGAGACCTGTGGATCAGCTGGGAGGAGGGCATGAAAGTAAAAAGCGTTCATTATTGTGATCATTTTAGGTGTTTTACTAATATGACCGCACTCACATGCATCTGTCTTCACAGGTCTTTGAGGAGCTGCTGCTGGATGCAGACTGGAGTGTGAATGCAGGAAGCTGGATGTGGCTGTCCTGCAGCTCCTTCTTCCAGCAGTTCTTCCACTGCTACTGTCCCGTGAGCTTCGGCCGTCGACCCGACCCCAACGGAGACTACATACGGTGAGTTAGGACTCTACAGTGTAAACAAAGAACGATTTGTACGATTTGAACAAAATGTATTTTATTTTCATCCTAATTTCATTTAGTGAAAATGATATATGTTCGGCCTAAGCAAATTGACGACTTCACCCTTTATTCAAATAATATATATATTTTATTTATTTAAAGATTTTGTTTGCATATTGTGTAGTTGTGCTAGGAGTTTTGATAACACATGCCAAATTGCATTGATGTAATTTTTGGCAAGGGTGTCATACAAAGAAATTATGAACACATGCAAAAACAAAACATTTCCAGTCGGGCAATTAAACTGAAACACCTGGTTTTAGACCTCAATAATACATTTAATAGTATGGTGTAGTACTCCTGTTACGGCAAATACAGCATCAATTCGTCTTGAGAATGACACAAGTCCTTCACAGTCACTATGGGATATTGGTGTAAAACGTTTTCTGACTTTTACACCAAAATGGCTCAAAATATTTAGATCTGGTGAATGTGCAGGGCATGGGACACAGCACCCCCTTAGGGTACTATTGGTTACACATGGTCCTCCAGAATAGGTCAGTAGTCCTTGGCAGTGATGCGCCCATCAAGCACAGTAGGAAATTCCATGATATTGCAGCCCAGACCATCATTGATGCACCCCGTGCTTACTCTGACTATGGAACAGTCCAGGTGTTAAGCCTCTTTGGGACTTCTCAATCTCCACACTAACTACCATGGATGTGGGAAAGAGTAAAGGTGGATTCAGAGAACAATACATGTTTCACATTGTCCCCAGCCCAACATTTTCAATGTTGGCACCAATGAAACTGACATTTGGCTTTGTCACGAGTTACCAAATGTTTGGCTATAGCAGCCTGACTCTGTGGAGTTCCCTCCCGACGAACAGTTTTGGTGGAAACAGAAGAGTCAAGGTGCGCATTTAATTCTGTAGTGAGCTGGGCAGCTGTAGTTTTTTGGGGGTTTTTTGGGATACAATCCAGGTTAGTACCTGGACATCCCTTTCAGACATCTTTCTCATGCGTCGACAGTGGATGTCGTTCGTCCTACGTGGTGCTACAGTATGTCGACATTAACCTGGATACCACAGCTCTCGATACATCACAAAAACTTGCTGGCCTGGTCACAGATAACAGCCAGAAATTGTAATGTTATAATGTAATATATTACATTATATATGTATAAAATGTACTCCCCTTTTCTCTTGAAGGCGATATTTGCCAGTGTTGAGGGGTTTCCCAGCCAAGTATATCTACGACCCCTGGAATGCTCCTGAAAGCGTCCAGAAAGCAGCCAAATGTATGATTGGTGTACACTACCCCAAACCCATGGTGCATCACGCAGAGGCAAGCCGCCTCAACATAGAGCGTATGAAACAGATCTACCAGCAACTGTCCAGCTACCATGGCCTGGGTAAGACAGAAACTAAGGGAAATGAAAATGCCACACTAACCCATACCTCGCTCTCGCTATATTGCCCTATAGATTTCTGCCTCTTTTTTTGGTGTAACTTCTAAATACTTTTACGTACAAAAACATAATGTAAATGTGTTTAATCCTTCTGAACTCATAAGCTTCTGGATATCGAGGGCTGATTTAGGTTATTCATTTTTGAACGGATTTACGCGATTTTAATCTGAATTAACAGAAAATGAACAGAACCTGAAACAAGGTCATTTTTTGTGTCTGACTGATGCCTCGTTCCCCTACAGGACTGCTGGCAACAGTGCCGTCCAACGCTAATGGAAATGGTGAGAATTCCACAACCTTAATGGGATTCCAAACAGGAGATATGAACAAGGAAATCGCTGCATCCTCAGGTTTGCACTCAAGCTTTTTTATTTTTTATGCAACATATCTTAAGTAAAACTTGAATCATAACAAAGTGAAATGGCTTCCCAAACAAGAAAGAAATGAAGGACGGGACTTGAATTTGGCCATCAGTAATTGATTGTGTGGTTGTGGTTTGTTACTACTGCAATCTTGTATAAGTGGAGTAAGAAAGAAGAGAAGAGATGTCGCTGCAACTTTAAACAAAATTAAATATTATATATATATATATATACACATAGTGTAGAAACCACTACTAAATCTGATTCTTTTTTTTTTTAATCATCTCAGGCTATCAGATGCCACCCACCTCACAAGGTGAATGGCACGGCAGGATGGTTTACTCACAAGGAGACCACCAAACAACCAGCAGCATGTCACTGCAAGGTACAAGCACTATACCAACGAGATCAATATCTATATTTCTGTAATTATCAACGTCAATAAATCTCAGCAGCATTGTTATTTTTACAAATGCCAGACATGTCATTATAGTGTTTGTCTTGCAGGTTTTGCAAGCAACAGTAGTGGCACAATGTGCTACAGGCAAGACTTAAGTCCTGCTGGACAGCCAGGTAAAGACATTTAACAGGAGGCCAGTCTAATGTCATGCAGATGTTACAGTTAGCAGCATTATAATCTTTAAATCTCATTCTCAGGACGAGGGCTGCACAGCACCATCCTGACATCTGGAAAACGACACAGCGAAGAGTCTGGTCCTGCCACAGGCTCAAAAGTCCAACGTCAGAGTATTTCTTAAACATCAGGTCTGTCAATTATACACACACACACACATATATATATATATATATATATATATATATACATATATTTATTACAATTTTTAAAGTGTTTTGTAGTCAATTACTTGTATATGCCAAAATATTAAATTAAATGTCTTTTTTTTTTTTTTTTTTAGAAATGGTCAATGCACAGATGTCAGCACGACTTTGCAGAGGCCTGACTTATTTTTTTGGCACCTTTTTCGAGTTGTTATGTTTTGCATTTTTTATGGAAGAAACCAAAATCCCATTGACGGGAGCGATTCAAGGGGGTGCATGATTCTCTCTCTAAGCACATCAACACTTCAAAACTCACTGTACATTATCACAGGGACTTCACCCAAGAGGTCAACATCCTAACAACATTAGAATTATGTTGTGGCTCTGTAATCTCCACAGCAGCAACGTTCTGCCAATGTTACGTTCATGTTTGGACTCTCTGGGGCTAAATTTTTGTGTGTATATAAGGATTTGATGAATACTTACATACAAAATGTACATATTTAATATTGTATGTGCTTTCTCTTTTTCATGTAGTCATAGACCCATTGATATATTTTTGATATTAAGAATTATTGTGGATCAATTTTACTCTGTTCTTTATGAAAACATAAAATTGAACCTTTCAAAGCATTTGTAGACTCTCCATGCAGTACATTACTTAACCTCTCATCGGGTTGTTTGCTTGCACTATGTTTTTTGAACTCTACTTTTGTTTGTCTCAGCTACAGCCGTTTGTGATCTTTTCAGACTGACATCTGTCTCCACCTTCTCAGTCCCTGTTTACTTTCTATTTGAGTGTCTCTCCATTGCTGTAAAGTAAACTATTCGAAAATATAATTCACCACAGTGTTTCTCATCCTCTCACTTTGTGCTTGTTTAATAAAGTGTAAATGTACTTTGTCTCGCTCATTTACTTACAGGATGCTGTTCTGTCTCTCATTTTACTGTAATGCTGATTCCCTTGCACTTTATAGTTGATGACCTATTACATAAACAAATAAATTAATTTTTACTAATTACCATTAACTATGAACTTGCTCACTAAGGTCAACCACAAATTGTCTAAAACATAGATCACTGGCCCAAAATATTTGTTTAATATTAAATATATTCATATATTCAACTTAAAACCAACCAACCAACTTGGGTTTGTTTATCTTTCTTTCAAACAAATGAAATTCGTCTAATTTTTAGGATGGAGTGAGTGTCCAATAAATTCCTTTTATTTCATAGAGTCCCTAAACGCCTTGGGAGATTATAATCACGGATTTAGTGCTTAAAACTTTACAATAAACTTTACAACATTGTTTGCTTACCTTGCTACAGAAGGACAGACGAAACGCGCGACAGTTTGTAATCTTTTAGAACTCTAGTCATTTTCACTGTATCCCAGGACCAAAACAAACAACTAAACGTGTAAATAAACTTGATAAATATTTGTATTTGCTAAAAATCAACATAAGCAGTGAGTGATTTAAAACAAAAGCTTGGCCACGCCTCCACGTTTGCGTACGACGTGACGTATCATTAGCAACATCAATGCAGATTTGTTTCTGAATTAACCTGTTTTACACACTCTATATCATATGCCATTAACATGTGCATGAATTAAATCATACAGCTGAACGGTCGAGACTCTTACACCTCTGTCTAGTTATGAAATGAATGTTGCGAAAGGGACAACAAACAGGACATGTCACCGCATGTCACCGCTTAATATATAAACATAAGAACTGACATAAAGAAGAATCACCCGAAAGTGTCATGAAATGAAACTGTCTCATTAAAAGAAAGAAGAGGTAAAAATCTGTTTGTCACAGGAAATAAATGTTGTGTATGTCCACAAGGTTGCGCTGTCTCTCTTCATGTGATCTGCTCGCATTCACAATCTGAGTACAAATATTCTGCTGTAGGCTGGTAAACTTTAAACATTATGGGAAACTATCCATATATTTTATACTTAAGTTTGACTACACCTTAATTCCATCTAGTAAGTTTCACTTTGTATCATTTTATTCAAGCTAGCAATGAAAAGCTTAATTTATTTACATCAATCATCAATCGTCAATAATTGGATATCAGTTTGCAACTTGATATGACAAAGTACTAAATTTCTAACAAAACGACGCTTTGCCAAAAACATTTTCCTTCGAGCCGGATTCGAACCAGCGACCTAAGGATGACAGCATTAACCCTCTACAGTCCTCCGCTCTACCAACTGAGCTATCGAAGGGATACGTCATCAAAAATCGACAGAAAATATAAACTAAAATGTATAAATTCAATATCTTTTTTTTAGATGTTATGTTCTAGATACAGCCTTAAAAAGAACAAATAATCAGCAGAGAAGAATTACTATATTTCCTATATTTCCCTTTCGAGGTGAATTTTCTGTAGGCTGTAGGATAGCGTTATAACAAAGCTAGGCTAAAAGACGAAACAAATTTTACTCTCCAAGAGTAACGTTATGCACAAAGTGAAGTGGCAAGAGAAAGTATACAAAGCACGTGGAAGTTAGCCTGACGATGTCTATGGCGATAACTATTGCGCAGAAATAGTGAGGAATTGTTTAATTTTAATGCATGTAGAATCTTATCAATATATTGAATTTTTTTTTTTTTTTTTTTTACTGCAGAGTATATACTGCTATTCGGCTATTTGGGGATCTTGTAATCTTCGCAAACACATGGGCCCCTATCAGCTGTCCCTTGCTGTGTGTGTCTGACCAATGAGGAATCTGATTTAAATAAGACTTCCACCTGTCACTTACAATTTCACAAATAGCATACTGGCAGACTGCAGGTTGACAGAATCACTCAATACTAGGGTACAGTAAGGTCATGAAGACTATTTTTATATTCAAACAAGGGAAGAAGATGGAGATAATTGCCCTTCATTCTCGAGGTATCACTCATCCTGTCTATTATTGAGGGAATTTGGAGGATGCATTATATCTGTCAAGGATATAAGAGTGGCCCATTAGGCTACTTTATAAGTGCACAATGCTGTAACAGAAAAACCAACATTAATAAGAGGTGGCATGGGAAAATTAGACCAATGGAGAACCATAAATTCCTTCACGATCCAAAAACAAACCATCTCAATAAGTGGCTTTGAGATCCTTTTTTCTCTGTACACACTATGACAGACTCTTTCCAGAAATCTTAGAAATTTCTCAGAATAATCACAATGCATTTGAAGTGCAATCAATGCTTTTAAAGGCTAACTGAAAAATATGCTCTTATGCAGTTAACATTTTCAAAGTGATGTTTTTATTTGTTTATTTCAAAATGATATTGCATCCGTAGAAACATATTGGAAACACAGTAAGATTGTGAAATATTATTGCAATTTAAAATAACTATTTTTCTATTTGAATGTTTTTATTTTATTTTTTTAATGTAATTTATTCCTGGCAAAGCTGAATTTTCAGTCTTCAGTGTCATCATTCTATGCTGATTCAATGCTCAAGTTCCTTTCGAAAACAGTTGTACTTAATATTTTTGTGGAAACCATAAAACATCTTTTGAAACTGTATTCTTTGATAATTTCAAAAGAACATAATTTAATTATTTTTTTTAAAAAAGAACAATAACTTATGTCACTTAATTGAATATATATATAAGTTTTTTTCCCCACACATCAAATAGAAAACTGGCAGATGTGGTTCCATAGGTTTCCAACGGCATGCAGAGAGAGCCAACTGAAATGTTAATACACAAATAGTTGTGCAGAAGCCACTGAACACTTGTCTGCCTGTGTCTGTTATCTCTCTGTCTACCATTATCCAGGTCACATTGTCTCAGGGGTGGGGGACAAAATTCCTTGTATCATTTCATAATTTTCAAACAGAAATTTAATTAATGAGAGTTCCATGAACCTAAAAATGAATAAATTATTAATTATACACAAAGCAACAGATTGTCTAGACAACTTAGACAATTAAATGAATGCCTGAATATTGGTGCCCAGTTAATCAATTCAAACATGGTGTGAAACAAGATCCCTACCAATGCACAAGTGTGCGTGTGCATCTGTTTTAAGTCTGAAATAGACTCCTCTTCACAACACAAAGATTTTAGGGTAGGTTAGAGGTTAGAGGTCAGGGTCTGGGTATTGGACAAGACAAGGTCCTCTAAAGTAGAAAATAGATCCAACGTGCATCTGTTCAAAAAGCTTATCCAAGAGCCATTCAGCAAACGTCACATGGGGAGGGACCCTATAAAACCACAACGGATCCACGGAGAACATCTCAGTCCCTTTAGGATCTTGACCACCAGCCGTACATTCTTCCTCAGTGGCCCCCTCTTCCCAAAACACCCAAAAGAAGCACCATGTGCGACTGCATGCATGGGTTTGTGGAGGAGTTTGAGGAGGAACAGGAGGAGGTAGAGGAAGAAGAAGAGGAGGCTGAGGAAGAGAATACGGAGGAAGAAGAAACCGATGAGAAAGAACAAGAGGAAGAAGATGAACAAGAGGCAGAAGAGGATTTAAAACCCAAGCCCAAAATGTATATTCCCAACATTATGGCACCAAAACTGCCTGATGGAGAGAAGCTGGACTTCGATGACCTCCACCGGAAGCGTGCGGAGAAGGACTTCAATGAATTGCAGAGTCTCATTGAGCTGCACTTCTCCACCAGGCAGAAGGAGGAGGATGAGCTCATAGCTTTGAAGAGCCGTATCGAGCGGCGTCGGGCCGATCGTGCCGAACAGCAGCGCATCAGATCCGAGCGCGATCGCGAGAGACAGGCACGCATTGCGGAGGAAAGGGCACGGCGTGAGGAAGAGGCCGCCAAATTGCGAGCTGAGGAGGAAGCCAGGAAAAAGAAGATCCTTTCTAACAAGGGCTTCGGTGGCTACCTGCAGAAGGTAGATCAGAAGAAGGGAAAGAAGATGACGGAACGTGAGAAGAAGACCAAATGTCTGCTGGAGCGTCGCAAACCCCTCAACATTGATCACCTCAACCAGGAAAAGCTGGGAGAGAAAGCCCTTGACCTTTGGAAGTGGCTCAGTCAACTCCACGCTGAGAAGTTTGACCTGACAGAGAAGCTGAAGAGACAGAAGTACGACATCAAAGTTCTGCGGAACCGTGTTAGTGACCATCAAAGGGGAGCTAAGATGACCAAGACCACCAGGAAGTCCAGGAAATAAATGACACATGCAATGACACACAGAACAGAGGAATCCCAGTTTCAAGTCTCATACTGAACTTTCCGGAACATCATTTATATTCTTAATTTCTTTTGATTAATAATTCTTTATTTAGCATTGTATGATACATGTAATGGGTTTTACTGGGTTTAATGTTTTGTTTCATGTAATCTGAAGTCTTGATCTTATGCTAAAAGTTTAATGATTGATTTTGTTTTGCATTTCTGACTTTTGCTCATTAACCCAAGTGTTAACACGCTTCTCAAATTAAAGCAGTGATTTCGCTTGGAAAAGATGCATCATCTTAATGTCATCACTAAGATCACTCTTCTACAATTGTTAATTGACAATATCAAAAGGCTCTAACAAGAAATCATTTTAAATGTTGTATTAAGTGCTGGAATACAACATATTAATAAACAAAAACATCAAGATGTTATATATATATGGAAAATGTCTTTATTTTAACAACCAAAAGGCACACATATATGACTGTACCAGCAGTAAAGGTTTTGGCACATACTTTAAAGTATCTATTTCTACAAAATAAGCTACATAACTTTTTAGCAGATTTATTTGTATGCTATGCAGTTCCAGATAAGAAACAAAAAGGGAAAACGACATTATTCTTCTATAAAGGCCCGTGTTCATTTTCCACGTTCGTCTAGTGCACAGTCCCATTGACAGTTTAAGATTAATAAAATATACATAAGAGTTTGATTTATAATGTGCAACTTTCTTGCTCAATAAAAAAAAATAATAATAAATGTAAAAAAAAAAAAAGATTTCTAAAAGCTTGTAGCAGTTAGATTTGGTCTTTGATTATCAATGATTATAGCTCAGCTGTCTATAGGCTAAACACATTTCTAAGCAATTTATGGTTAATCCAACTATAAGAGCCTGAGTGTAATTATGACAAGTTTAAGTGTTGAATGACAACTGTCATTATGCAGAACTCTAATAGTGGTACAAAAAAATACCTATGACATAACTAGTTCAAGATTAAAGATTTAAGGATCACAAACTGAATTTGGATTATAAAGCCCCCTTTTTCCTGGTTAGCCTTTTGTTAGCCTTTCCTAGTATCGCTTTTTTCCATACCAGGTATGACCTTTCAGTGAGACCTAGAGATCCCGGTTGTTGCTGCTGATCATTTTGGGGTATGATGTCCCAATGGAGTTCCCAAATCTGTACACCACAATCTCCAGCAGGTACTCATCCACTTTAACCTTAACATTGGTCACACGCTCATCAGACAGAAGGAAGACGATGGTAAACAGAGCCACCTCAAACTCTGGGCTGACGCCTATGAAACAGCTGCCCACTGGCTTGACTAGACCATTCCAGCTGAACTGCAAGTTTAAGACGTGATCGTCCTCATCTGGCTGAGAGATTGAACCAAAGTGCAAATTTAAATGTTGAAAGTAATGCACACGAAATTATATTAACATGATTATACAAGAGTCTCCTTGTCAAATCATTATTAAATGATGAAATACCGTGTCCTTGTTATTCCTGGCCTTGTATCCTTTGTAGTCCACATGATTGTGTTGCTCCTGATGGTAAAACTGGACCCAGTTATGGAGGCCCATGATCTCTTTGCCATGCTTGGTTTCACCAACAAACACATGCTCAAATCCACAGGAATCTTCACTGCATGATAGATGAGAGGGAGATGGGCAGGTAAACATAAAATTCTCCATGTATGAAATTCTGTGCTTACAAACTACACACGTTAGTAGCATATAAGCCTCAAGCAATATGATGGTAAGCGATTGTTTCAAACTAAAAGTCATTAGTATGTCAGTTACTCATCTAACAAACCCAATTCAGGTCATATGTCTGAAACACACTAATCAAATTAGGTTTTCAACTCACCCTCCACTTTTGTCTCTGTGATAGAGCTTGAACCAAATATCATAGAGTTGCCTCTTAAACTGAGCCGGATCCGACTGGGCTCGACCCTTGCGTACTAAATACCTGTGGGCACACTGCAAAGACAAAATCAGAACTGGACTATATTATAATATTTTCTTTCACTTGTAGGGTAATGTTTGCATGATGTCTTTGCACTTTGCGTATAGGTTAATTCCTTAAACATAATATCTCTGTACTACATTAGCACAGTTGACTCACATGCTCATATTTACTCTCCACTTTCCATCCACTACATTAAACCATTAATTTTCCATTATTTTAAACCATTATTTTTGTATCAATAGTTTTTGAAAGGCTAGACACAGTTCATTAAAAACCAATAAATATTTCATTATTTTAAAATAAATTAAATTACTTTCACTTTGGTCAGGAATGATCGCTTTCAATCAGCTAACAGTCAATAGTACACATACTGCACATTCTTTAAGTTGCTCAATTTCAGCATGATGTAAAACAAATACTAAAAAGCAAGGCAAAACGAGACCATTGAGTAACGTAATAAGGTACCTTCATTATCTCGGTCTTCAGAATGGCATCCAGGAAAAGATTGTTCTCCTTGAGCTCCTCTTTTGACACCTGCTCAGCCACTCCTGTAGACATCTCATAATTGTCCAGCAGATATATGAAGTCTGAGAAGATACAGAGTAGATTAAACAGCTGTCTAAACTGCCATGCATTGCATTCTATCTGTCAATTTAATGAAAACTAGTGTATTTATTAGATTTATGTAAAAGGAAACAAGTTAGTAGAGATAGGCCATGGTTTCTTACAGGCATAGGTATCAATACTTTTGAGCTTGTTTTCATTGACATATGAGAAGAGAGGAGCTCTTGCGCTGTCCCTGGCACTGTTACTGCCCTCAGATACAAATCCAGCCTTCCCCTGTGTGAAAACAAATCCACTATAATGACTGATTGATTCTCCTTAAATCAGACAAAAGAGTGTTTTAAAGTCACCGGCTATGATGTGCATGGAATCTAACATTCCTTATGTCTTTACTTAAATGCACATATATTATATATTAATTTATTTATATATTTTTTTTTCTCATAAACCTGTCTCCTTCCCCAACCACCTACTTGTAGGTTGATCTTATAGTCTTTTCCAGGTTTCATGCGGTTCACATCCAACTTCCACAGTTCGTTCAGCACATCTGACAGCTCCTGATTGATGCCTTGACTGCTGTAAAGATATATATATATATATATATATATATATATGACATTGAAAGTTTACAATGAGTCAAGTCTGGCTGTATTGCCTAGTGAATAAAGCAGTTATAATAATAATTGTAGTAACTATGGTAATTGGGATTATGGCTACTGTGGCCATTTTGGGGGTTATGTTAGTTCTTCTATCTCGAACTACCGACATGAGTCAATGATGTCCAAAGGTTATCTAAGATGATAGAATGAAATCTTTAAAAACAAGTAACATTATTAGAAATGTAATCTTTGTATTTGTGTTGGTTTCATATTTTTAAAATGATAATAATAATAAAACACAATTAAATCAATCAATGTATGATAGATAGTATGTAGTAAGCAAATCATGTAATAAAATGTGGTTGTTGTTGTTGTTAATTGTCACTCTCATTACTAATAACCGAACTGTGTGAAAGTTACAACAGCATCTGGAAAACGTAATAGAGGCTGTTCGTAAATAGCATTACCCCCACTTCAAACAAAGCTCGAAGACTCAACACGCTAATAATATCGAAAAATGTGATCTCTCAAATATTTATAGACATGAAGTTGAGTATTTTAACACGCACCGGATGTTATGCCTGTTTTTACGCGTGAAAAATATGTTCAAAAACAGCATCTTCACCCAACACAAAAACATCACAAGCAACTTTAACGTTTAACGTTCGTTAAGTAAAAGCATATGGTTTTAAAGTGATATTAAGAACCATCAACACAACTTTGAATTGAGTAACGTTAAAGTTAAGCACAAAACGGAAAGACCGTTATACTTCTGTTGCCATTTATTTACTCACCCTTTGGCCATATTCGCAGGTTCAAACGAGTTCTTCTGATGATGCAAAGAAACGTTAGTCAGCCAAGCGACGAAAAGCTGTTTTTGATGGGTGTGTTACTTTGGTTAGCTCACGCGATGTCAATTTGATCGATCGACCAATCTGACCAATGAGAGTGGCGAACGGTAACGCCTCTACAGTGTTGGAAAGTGTTATTAACCAATAGTAGAGTGGAAGAGAGGAAGCGAAACTGACTGAGATTCAGGAAGGGTGTGTACTGTGTGGTAACACAGGTAAGCTGAGTCAGGCTATACTGTCTGCGCGTATAAACCTTCTCTGATCCAAATCTAATATACGAAATCTCAGCCTTTTTGTAATGTTTGCTATTTGCAGTCACAAGAAGTGCATAATTTATAATATTTCTATATCCATACACTATACATAAAAGTGCTTTATGTGCTTTATAAGGTGCTGTGGGCTACTTCCCCAAATTTCAGTTCGTTTCCATAAAATAAAAATGAAAATAACAAATTCAACCTTACCTTTAATTTGGAATTTCCATAGTTCCAGATCTGAGTCACAGTGAATTAATCTACAAACATGGCCTGTTTCCAATGAATTTTATCTGGTTGTATTTTTGCACCAGAATGAATGCATATTGAAATAACAATAGATTGAACCGAAATATTATTATTGATTCATAATTCATGCTATGTATTATATTGTTCACACTACAGCTCTAGGATTTTAGTTTATGTAACCAATTACATGTCACTATTGTTTAGAGATTAAATTCTGATATTTTAGCTATTTAGTATGTTGTAATGCTTGTGTTCATGTTTCCTCTACAGAATACGGGATGTGTTTGGAGGGCCAGTCATCAGTAGCAGACCCTTACCATCCCTAAATGTGTGTTGCGCCACTGTGGCTTTCACACTGAGAGTTGGTGGCAGTGCTCTGAGGTTTACTATTTATAATACTTCAAGATTTAAACACAACACACCACTTTTCAGAAATATAAAACTGTATACTAATGGATTAATGAATGCAGTATACCTGCAGAATACTGATACCTTGTTCATTTTGACCTTTTTTTTTAATTCCCGACAGAGATTAAACATTCCACACTCGTCTGAAAGAGATGGAGATATGCAGGATTCCAGTCACAAATCCTGAAAAGTTGAGAACACATATCATGTTTTACTTCTAAATAGAGCAGTGTAGCACTATATTCAGGTTTTGAGAAGAAAATATCCAGATTTATATATGAAATATTTGCTAAGGTTCATCATACATGAACCATGAATATATCAGACTCTAAATTACATAGAAAATCTGGAAAATGATAATTAACTTTCCTTGAAATTTAATTTAGACTTGCATTTACTTACCCATGGATGTTGAAGCAAGCATTTAGTTTTCAATAGCTTCCAAAATACAAAAACTAGTCTTTTTCATCTTTAGATTAAACAAAAAGACAGATTATGTGTAATTCAAGCTATGAGATCGTCTGTTTTGTAACCTAACCTACATAAAGTGACAAAGCATCTGGGCCATGTAAGGAAAGAGTGGGCAGGACTAATGAAAGGCAACTCCTCATGAACTTTCCAAAAGCGCTTTTACAGAAAATATTTCTTAAAAGTCAGATAACACATTGTTAGCCAAAAAAGCTAGTATATGGGCGAATACATTGTCAAGATCGGTGTTAAATGTGACGGCTTGTAAAAGCAAGCACTGCTTCACACTGAATTTCAAATGAAATGAAAATAAACGCACTAAAGCATTACAGTTTTCATGCACTTCTTTAATATATCAGTTTTCATATTCACAACAAATACATTAAGCTCTTTTTCCTTTTATATAATACAGTCTTAAATATTTTTACACAGAAATATTTTCTCAGAATTTCATCTATCAAAATGTCTTAACCGTTGTCATTTCTTAAGTTGAAACATTTGAAGTCATTTCATTGTTTAGTTTTTTTTTTATCTCCATGCCTCCTAGCAAACGGACAGTACTTCCTTTATACAGCTATTTACAGATGAAAAGAGTCTCCCAAACTTTTGTATGATAGTTTTCACTTGAATGAACTTGCACTGGGGTGGGGGTTTAAAGTGCAGGCAAGGCAACATAAAGGAATGTGATATGGACGTGTTTGGTTAAGGCTTTAAAAAGCAAATAAAATATTTTTTGGGGGTAGTGAAAGACTAATGGTTTTGGACTGTAATCAAGTACGTCCCCAAGTATTCCAGAATAAAGAAGGATCAGTCCTTCTTAAGTCAGACTTCTTCAGTAACATTCCCATAGAAAATAAATACAGCACTCTTAAAATACACCTCTACTACCTCCATACGCAACCCATGATAAGTTTGCCAGCTTAATCTGAGAACAAGTCCATTTAAACGTCTTGTCAAGGAACTATACATGTGAAAACAGTGACGAATGTCACAAACAAAAGGATTCACGGAGCTCCTCTTTCCTTAATGGCAAGTTTAAGTGACTGAAACAATTCACAGAGCATCATCCTTATAAAAATAAAAAGAGACTCAAAATAAATAAATCAATCCATCTCAACAGAAGCAAGAAGATGGAGCGCGTGTCCTCGCTTTTGCAACGGAGCACGAGTGGTGAACCAAGCGCAGAGCCTCAGTTATATGTGCAACATCAAGCATTTTGTGGAGCCGAAAGCAAAAGTTTCGTACAAGAAAAAAAAAAAAAAAGGAGGTGGAGCCACTTTTTTTCAACACGAAGAGGCCGAAATAATGAAAAGCATTCCTAGGAGGGCACTTCCACCGTCCACAGTGTCTAGGCGAACTTCAGGGCTACACAGTGCTAGTGTCACACTACAGCCCAAAGCTATGCTAGAGGGTTGACGCAAATGTCTTTGGACCAACGTGAAACGAAGAGCCGCCGCTTTGTCGCACTTTGCGAGCAGGTACAGAGGAAGCCAGTTTGAATCATAGGGTGAATAGATTTGGTCGAAGATCCAGATAACCGTTCTCTGTCAATGGCGAAGGTGGACACAGATGACATTAGAAGGTTGGTTTAAGCTTTGGTTTTTAGTGTCCTATGGCCCTGCCTGCTTTTGAAATCAATTTTCATTAATTTTGCAATCCGGTAACCATGCTTTAACCTCTTCATATGACAAAATATAATAAGTCTTTAAAAAGGCAAAATTGCGTATCTGCATCAGTCATTTATACAAAGTGCACAGACACACTGCTTAATGTCCATTTCAGCAAATCACAGAATGGGTGAGAGAAAATAAATGTATATGTATATATGTATATATATATACACACATACATATACACACCTCTTCCAGAGTTTGAAACAACACCGAACAAAAAGTAATAAAATTAAAGCAATATAAATTAATGTAACTTTGCAGGCCTGCCTGTCTATAACACAAGAAAAACTATATGAAAAACAACAACAACAACAACAACAACAACAAAAACTATGACCTGTGAACAAACATTTTGGAATGAATCCAGAGGTGCAAGGTCCAAAGAGTCACATGACTTGTGGACAAATGAAAAAAATCCATTATTAACCACAATGGCCTCAAAGGAATGGCTTCTAATAACAACAGTTAAGCATAAATTTGTAGTGAAAAGTACAGAAATACATCCGAAATACGCCCACATCTGAAACAAGGCTTCGTGTTTGCTTTATACAGTGGGTTTTTTTCTACAAGAAACTTCAAATATGATCTTTGACTTATTCAGAAACATGACGTCAGCTACTAGAATGTGGCGAAACAAAATAAAACGAAATAATCACATTCTCCAGAAGCACAGAAACAGCTTTGATTTTGCCCACCTCGGAAATGTCTGATGGAATTTGTGCCGAACAAAAGAGTCTAAAAACGTCTTTGCGAGGGGCATTCATGGGGATGCAAACTAAAAGATCCTAGAATTTGCCTTGACAAAAAATTAAAAGCAAAGAATATATTTATAAAAAAAAGAGGTCTTTCAATGGTAGCTTCATTTACCCCAGCCCACAAACCTGCCTGTAACAAAAAATAATAATAATACTGGGTCTGTTTATCTACAACTTACGACCCTGTAGAATTTTTTATTTATTATTAGCAACTCCAGCCACAAGCAACGTTAACGTAACAAACTCGTTGCAAGAGAAAGAAACGTTTCTAAATATCATTCAAATTATCTTGTGATATCCAGCACCTCTCCACAACGGCAACTTGACGTCCTTGCTCTTATGCCAATTTTTCCATCATTCCACGCCACAAGTCCATAATATGGACCCTGTTTTCTGATTGGCCAATCCTGTGTGTTCTTCGCCTCCAGGGGCGGAGTGAAGGCGGGGCTTGTGCTCCAATATAATTCATCCCAACCCCATTCATCCTTCTTGGGGAAAAGATTTGTATCCCCCTTCACAATCTATGCCTTTTTTTCCTTCAGTGACCAGGCATCGGTGTCCTCACATCAGTCGTTTTTTGTTGTACGCTGCATTATCGAGTTGTCCTGTGTGATGTTTTATGACATTTTTGTAAATTCAGCAATGACACCCTGCAGAGATCTTTTTTTATTTTAAAGCAATTCCATTGAGGCTGTAGCTCTTCGGGTAAAGAGGAAGAAAAACAGCACATTCTTTGAAAACTAGTCCTTTTCTGAGTTATGGATGAACCCACCGTAGGAACACAAGACGTCGTAAAAACTGACAAGGGATGGAGTTGTAGGATTTGCAGCACTACTTAAACGCTGAGAATTCACCTAAAAGGGAACACAAATGACAGATTCGTATCAGTTTTCATACTAATTAATGCAATAGAAGTCTAAAAGTACAACAATGTTTGTCTATTTGTACTTGCCATAGCCACCAGCCTGAATGGGTGTCTTGGGGGAAGCGCAGGCGTACAGGCTGAAGTCTTCTGTCTGGAAGCCAGCGCGGTTAAGGGACGGTTCAGAAGCGCTGCGGTGGATCTTGGGCAGAGAACGTGCCAATAACTCAATGGAGGCCAGGATCTGCAATAAATAGATGATATGAAGAGTTCAGATGCAAAAGCCTCTAAATGCCATTTGAAATTTTTTTCTTTAATGATGATTTTTATCAAACTTGTATATTTAAGTTCAGTAATTTCACTTAAATAACAATTAATAGGTAATTATCATTGCCATTTAAGTGAAATCACTGAACTTAAATATACAAGCTTGACAAAAATGATCATTAAAGAAGAAATTTTCAAATGGCACTTAGAGGCTTTTGCATCTGAACTCTTCATATATACATATAGGACAAAATAGTTATATTATTAAATAACATATTATATTTAGTATTTTAATTATTTGGATCTGCAATAAATAGATGATATATACTAGTGCTGTCAAACGATTAAAATATTTAATTGCGATTAATCGCATTAATGTCATAGTTGACTCGCGATTAATCGCACATTTTTATCTATTCTAAATGTCTCTTGATTTCTTTTTCTCACATTATTTGTTCTCATTTTAATGCTCTAATCAACATGGAAAAGTGGATCGGCTTGCTTTGTTCAAATGTTTTTTTATTGAAAACAACATTGGCATATACCGTGTTCAAATTCACACTAAAATTCTCACTTGGAGCAAATAATCTCTCACACAATGTAACACTGTCCATCAATAAAAGGGTGAAAGAAATACTGACGAGGGGGCGGAGAATTTGCATCAGTTGTGTGTGTGCACTTGGCCATCATCAAGTGGTGTTTCAGACTATATATACTGTGTGTGTGTGTGTGTGTGAGCATGTATACACACACACACCATAAACTATATTGACTGATTAAAAAAATTCCAAATATATTAAATTCAAAGCTGCAAATATATTCTGTTACATTCTGTTAAATGACACTCCGATGCCCTCTTATGGCAACATACTTCGACATGCCCTTGACAGATGTTTCACAACATTACCTGAGGGAAAAGAGGTCTCTCCTCTCGCTTTTTCTTCAAACAATCTGCCATAAGTCTCTTCATGGCCTTTGGGCAATTACTGCGCACTTTGCTCAGGTCAGGGGAAAGGTAACCTCGGCCAACCATAAAGATAATCTGATAGGAGAGATATGCTCATTACATTTTCCAAAATTCAGATATTAGTAGCAATCCTTCAGAGTACTTGATTCGTGTCATAGACATCCTACTAATAGTACATTACACATATAGTACATTAACATTAGAAATTGATAAGGCATAAGTACTAATTATGCATGATTATGTAACTAATCAATTTAGACAAAAATTTGGGGGAAAAGTAAAAAAAAAAGTGCATTGATAAAAAAGTTCACCTGGTCTCTGTTGTTGATGTTGGAATAAGGCAGAGCCCCTGACATGAGCTCATAGAGCACAATGCCGAACGCGTAGACATCCGACTGGAAACTGTATGGGTTTTTATCCTGCAGTCTGATCACCTCTGGAGCCTGAAGAAGACCAATGAGTCAGTCCAGATGCAAAATACTCGTATCATAGCTAGTACAAGTGCCTTGACTCACCATCCACAAGATAGAGCCAGATAGCTGCTCAAACTGGTGTGAGCCACTCCAACGGGACTTCACCGTAGCCAGACCGAAATCACCAATCTTTACCGTTAGATCCTCATGCAAAAAGATATCTAGGGAGGTGGTGTTAAGGCTAATATAGAAGCGCATGTACACACACATAGTCTTGGACATCACTGTAAAGTTGAAGTACACAAACACAGGTCCCCTTTCATAGGTACAGCAAATCAGTCTTTAATTACAAAGGATACTGTTACTCTTCAGATCTCTATGGATGATGGACTTGGCGTGCAGATAGCTGTGGATAATACAAATATTTTAAAGTTTTAAATTCATAACTTGAACAATTTAGTATCATGATAGCATGATGGATTTGTATTATTATTATTATAGACTGAACGGATTCTTGACTTCTAAACATTATACTGCTATTGATCATCTGTGATTTCTCTCTAATTGATCCAGTGACTCACTCCATGCCCTGGGCCGTCTGGCGGGCAATGTCAATCAGCTTGATCATCTCAAACTTGGTCTCGATGATGTGCAGGTGATGGTAGAGACTCGAGCCTTCACACCACTGTGTAACTATAGCCAGCTGGGGTTTGGTGGTGTAGCCCATGAAGAGCAGGATATTCACATGGCGGGTTTTCCTGTGGGAATTAAAGAATTTTGCAATAAGCTTTGGTAGAACCATGTTTTGGCGGCTCTAGGGGTACTTTGATTCTAAGCCGATACTTAAATTTTACCAGAAGTACCAGTTGCACTGGTCAAATATTGGGTCAAAAGACGGCTCCTTTCAAACGCTCCTGTGCGTATTTGTGTGTTTTTGCCATGATACCGAAATTGGTACAGAGAACCGTGACATTTTACTGGTATTGGTACCGACAACTGAAATTTTGGTATTAGAAAAAAAACATAAGACTAACATAGACAAGGTTTACAAATAATGATTGAATTTTTTTAGTCATTGTTCAAATGCTAATCTACAACTTAAACCTACACGTATAAAAACACATTCACGATTATGAAATGCACACCTTTTTTTATAATATTCTCCTTTTTTGTTTCAAGTTTCATCGCTTAATGAATGATTGAAACTCTTAAATAAATAAAATCAATAGTCAGTGAAAGTAAGTGCTTAACCCTCGTGTTGATAGGCAAATTAAATATCATATGAGATTTTATTTTATATTTAATTTAATTGTTGATTTTAATGAAACCATTTTATTAAAATTAAAATATATTTTTTTAAATCAACAATTGGTATAGTTTAAAAACCCTTTTGATTATTTTCTTTCAATAAACATTAAATAAATAAAAATGTAAAAATAATAATAATAAAAACTACATCGGTTGACCACTACCTGAAACCTACATTTTGGACAGATACAGTCCCTGTTTTGAAATAATGAGCATATTTAGTCCTTATCTTACCTGAGGACACCCACTTCATTTTTAAAGGCCTGTAGCTGCTGTGGAGTGGGGGCTGTGACATTCAACATCTTTACCGCCACATCACCTGTGAGGAAGAGGAAGACACACATTTAGCCCTTTCTGTGCATTCCTTATTAATCTGAAGTCCAAATGCTGTTAACATTCGCACAGGACCCACCGTGCCACTTCCCCTTATAGACTGTTCCAAAGGAGCCAGATCCTATCCGCTGACCCAGGGTGATCTGACCTTCTGGGATCTCCCAATCATCGCTCGAGTCCCGTCGACCTAGAGTTTTCTACAGAGCAAAATATCAGACAAAATAGATCAAAATGACTTTAGACCTGGACTATATGTGCCAAGTGAGGTAAAAAGAAAAAAAAAATTCTTTACCATTTTATTGCGGTCCTCAGATGAAGACGATGGCTTCCGCTCCCTCGGCTGGCACGGCGATTTCGACACCTTCACATTCGGCAGGGAACCAGGCAGGGAGGCAGGAGGTGTGGCCGACAGGCCTGTTGTGGAGCCTGGCATTGCAAGAGGTCGAGAAACATCAAAGTTAATTCAACAGGTTATATGGGAGCCAAAGAAGAGAGAAACAGAATAAGAGGGGAAGAAGACAGAAGGAAAGGAATAAAATCTTGTGTGGTTTCATGAGGGAGAGAAAGAGAGGAAAGGGGCACGTCACAGCCCATGCAGTGTGAAACCTTTTTTTTTTTTTTCACTGGCCAATACAATAAGCAGAAAATAAGATATATATTAAATGCTAAATAAAAGAAAAAAACATTCAAAAAGATTATAATCTATAGTATAAAAAACACATTTTGAGATTTGCTAAAAATAACATTTAACAGTGTAATTAAATTATTTTTTATTTGTTTTAAAGATAACTAAAAGTGAGCTTTAGAAAATGGCCAAGGCGATCTAAATTTAAAAGTGTGCATGTTGCACAGTTGCACACTAAAATATACAAAACTGACCGAATGATAGGGAGTTGTACATCTAAAATGTCTAAATTTGATTTATGTAAAATGTGTGCCTTACTAAGTGAGTTTGTAGTGTTGTTGAGTAAAGGAGAAGTGAGTGGAATTCAAAGCTCAGTTAAAGCGTGCGTGTCAGAGAAGTGTCAGAGAAAGTGAGAATTCAAAGAAGGAGGAGTGAAATACATCAACAAAACACACAAGTGGAAGACACAGACAGACAGACAAGCAAAGGACGAGACAAGGTGTGGGACACAGCCACGCACAAAGGCCTATCTACCTCTGAACACTGGCTCAGGCTCAAAATCAAAGACAATTTCATTGGGGTGGGAGGACAGAAGGGGGCTTGAGGTCCGTGTTCGGTTCTTCCTCAAGCAGCGGGCTGGGTGTTGCGAGGGGGCTGCAGGGGGGAGAGAGACAGACACGGGATCACTGGCCCCTGAAGATCAGGTGCACTTCCTGTCACCCACTACCCACAATCCTGTGTCTACTCTCAGATCTCATTTAGAGATGATCAAGTGAATTACAGAGCCAGTTTTTTATTTATTACCGTATGTCCATAAAAGGGTTGTTCACTTATGTTATCATTTAATTGCCTTGTATCATTCCAAACGTGTTTGATTTTCTTTTATGCTTTTTAATTTACATTTGGTTTATGGAAAAGAGCAGCTTGAACATTCTTCTAAACACATTCTATGTTCCACAGAAAAAAGAAAGTCGCACGGGTTTGGAACAACATGAAGGTGAGTAAATGATGACCGGATGTTTACTTATAATGTTCTGGGACATGTTTTGAAACAGAAAGGACAGGGGGCAAGTTTTGATAGCACTGATTAGAAATTAGTACTTTACAGCAGGCCGCTATTCATAAAGAAAAGGGCATAACCAATTCACAAAGCGGGCAGGGGAGAGTTTGGCCTGTTTGTCAGCTTTACTAGCAGGCAGGGTGAAATGGACCAGCTGTCCCAAACTTCTAAGGCCAATGACACAAAGATAGCACAAAGACATGGGATGACAGAAAGCCATTTGAATTCAGTGCGTCTTAAGTGTATGTTTTCTGTTTCATACAGTCCTTACCTCCATCTGACCTCGGTAAACCTTGATCACGGATCAAATCCTGTACAGGAATAACACCGATTAGCAGGGACTAGGGGAGTCTGGGCCAATTGTAACTTTTGACACAAATGTACCTTGTTAATTTGTTGGTGGTATAAGAACCATTTATATTAACAGAGACTTATATAAACAAGATTATGATAAACTAACATTATGGAGGTGATGCAGTGCTTGAGGGCAACTGTAACACTTAATATAGATTCATTTATTTAAAAAAAACACATTAATTTAAAGAAATATGCATCTAAAATAAAAGAACACATCAAATATTATCAATGTTAATATTTTTGTAATATTACTAAATAGTTCGCCTTTATATTATACTCTTTTTTTAGATTCAGGAAGTGGGACCTACATTATAGTTATTTAAAATACATATTAGACATGGTCTAAAATATATTTATCAGCTGTTCCAGTTCTCACATCAATGTTGACCGGCTCGATGGTGTTGATATGGACATTAGGGGCCGAGGAAGAGCGATCCCTCTGGCCAAACTGGTTGCGGTGGTCCTCCTCTCCAGGTCTGAAGGATTGTGGGATAGGGATGGATTTGGACGGGGATACAGAAGGATGGCAAAGAGACCTGGAGAGAAAAAAAGACAGGACGGTATTATGAAATTTTGCTTAGTGCATGATTAAAATCACTGTTAAAGTCACTAACGCACTATACTTAAGGTGAGCCTTACAATTTCTCAACTAAAAGAGACACAGCAGTAACTACACTGATCTGCAAAAGATTTATATCTCTACCAAATTCAAATAAATGCTCTTTTTTAAATTTTATATTCATCAAAAATCCCGGAAAAAAAAACGTATCTGTTTCCATACAATATTAAGATTTCTGAAACATGTGACTGAAAATTCAACTTTGCCATCACAGGACTAAATGACACTTTAAAGTATAGAAAACAAGAAAAAAGTTATTTTAAATTGTAATAATATTTAACAATATTATTGTACTTTTTATCAGAATAAATGCAGCCTTGGTGAGCGTGAGGCGTCTTTCAAAAACATAATGTAAAAATCTCTCACACACATATACATATATACACACACACACAAAAGTGGACTAAATTCTTACCCAGTGGACTCGGATGGAGGGAGGGAGGGGCACATCTCTGAAACGGGTGTCGTGCCCTCTGATGACATCTCCTCTTGGGTAATGGGATGGTGCACTAGAAATTTTGATGCCAGCAGTAAACTGAACAAAAACATAAATAATAAGAACAACAGTACAAATATATTACGCATAATTAATTACCCACAGCACAAAACCATATAGGAAGCAAATTATTCCAAATACAGTGAATATAAATATAGGAGAAATAAACAAAAACATTGTTTTAATATTTAATAATAAAATAAATATTATTTACATGCTTTATTTCACTGTGCATTATGCGAGGAGCAAATTTCACCCTTTAACAGATAAAGCAGAAGTGAAAGAATTTCCTATGAGCACTCACTCCAGCTGATCGTAGTTGACACACATGAGCGGGACCTCTGTGCTGCAGCGCTGGTGGAACTTGTAGCCGCACGTCTGGCAGCGGAAGCCCTGAAACAGCAGCTTCCGGCAGAAGTCACAGAAGGCCAGCGTGAAGAAGGTCTTTCGCACCTGTTTTAAATCACCGAAAAAACCCTCAGAGTTATTACGAAGCTTCTGGATAAGCACAATGTATTACAGTCACTACAGTCAAACTGTAAAAAAAAAAAATTCCCTGTAAAGGCAATTGTAAATCAATTATAAATGCTAGATTCAGATTTAGATTATTTTTATTTCATGCCATGTCAGCAGTCAAAGCTATTTTCATGGCAAGAATTCATTTACAAAAATACAAATATCATATAAATACAACAAAAACTAAACAAATATAAACAATTAGTCATATTATACAATATATTTTTTTTTAAATTAACATATGATAAAAAAAAATCCAGAACCTTTTCAGGCATAATCTCATTAAATGTCCTTCAAACAAGTAACTTCATAAAAGAGCATTCTACTTGTGTTAAGTCCAGGACAATCTAATAAAAAATGTTTGACAGATAAGGACATTTTACAAAACATACATGAAGTTGGGTCTTCACCTTTAAGCAAAAAAGCATGGGTCAAACTTGTATGGCATCTGGTGTAGACCACTTGATTATAAATGCTAGAAATGTATTGCTAAAACATATTACAAAGACTGAACTGTGAAGTACTGAATTGTGGAGTTAGACCCCTTTAGGTCTAACTCCACAGAATAGCTCCCCTTTAAGCCACAGCTTGTGGTCAGTTTCATCATACTCACAAAATTATGGGTCGTCAGAGGCACATTCTCTAAAACCTCAACATGGAGCTCCTCCCCCGTCAACCAGGAAATGTCTGTGTCCCAGCCAATCGGCTTCTTCTCCCTAATGTGGGCGGGACAGACATTAAATGTAAAGTACAGCTGGCAGTACGACGTAACCTTGGTTTTTGCACAAGTGAAGGTTAGAGCAGTTATTACCCATCCTGAACCCTGTAGACCGCACAGCATTCTGGGATCAGGCCTCGCATCATCAGAGCCTTCTTTAAAGAGTCTCTCAGAGTCATCCCACAACGAGCTGGAACCTGAAACGCACACATAAACCATTTACTCATGTAACTTTTATCTCCTTGCAGTGAGACTGTGGCTACGTCTGATTTCTTGGCTCCAAATCATACAGCCGCTTCTCTTTGCTAAACCAAAAGAGACAAGCTGAGCAGATAATCAAAATAAAGGGGGTCACCTATATTCGCTAATTTCCCATGGACTCCCGCTGCTCTACAATCTGGTTGGAGTGGAAATTCCTTTCAAAAACCTCTTTTTAAAGCCCTGCCTGAAATCTTACTGTGAAGAAATGTCAAAACATCCTGCCACATCTGTACATGACAGAACTTCTCAAATCCAGCTGTGGGCAAAACATTACAGACGTAACTCACCCCATTTTTCAGATCCCTTACCCGATATTCTGTCAAAGCCAGTATTATATTAGTTACGTACTATTACAGCATTTATATAGTTAAGTTTACAGTCTACTTTTGGTAAATGGTACATATTAAAGCAAAACAGTACTAAGCATTCAGCAACTCACCACTGTCCTCTGTTTGTTGGGCAGGAAAACCCTTACGATGGGTTTCTGGGGCGAGCGGGGATTCCCTCGTGATGCGTCAGTGGGGGTCTGCAGGACAGCCAATGTGTTTGGGGTGATTGGGGCACTCTGGGTGCCCGGCCCCTTCACATCCAGCAGGGTTAGTGTCGGCGAGGAGCAGAACTCTGTTCCGTTTCCGATAGCCTCCAAAAGCTGCTGTTCCCGCTGCTGTAATGCATCCAGCTTACTGGTGTACTCTTCATAGGCCTGTGGCATGGAGGAAATATATCATTAAGACTTTTTGAATGTTTCACATAAATGCTGATGTTTTGAGGGAAAATTTTACTAAAATATTTCCATCAGTTCTTTTTCTTGTTTTCTATTCATTCAGAACAATGTTAGTGGCAATGTTTTATGTAGGCAACAACTGTTGTTTCATATAAACAGAGTTTTCAGCTAGCATGTTGCTAAGCTAACGGCTATACTCTAATAAACATAAAAAGGAAATATTGGGGGAACTTAATTTTTATTTAATGCTTGAATTATTTAAAATGATTTCCCATTTTGTCCACATACTTTCATACACCTTTGATGCCTTAAAATGCTACAGTTAGTTTGTTGTAACTGTGGATGGTCTCAAATCTAGTCACTTCATTTACTGTATTACATTAACTTTCTTGGTACAGTAAAACACCTTTCACACCCATGACAGTAACTCTTTGTCGGGCCAACTCACCTCCAGGTATATAGATGGTGGATTGTGTTCTCCTCCAAACTTATCTAAAAGGGCTTCTAGGTGCTCCTGGGTTAACTTAATCATCTGTTTGATGTTCCATATCTGCAAAGAAAATGAGAGTTAGCCAACCAAAATTTCCCACCTTCCTTCCACTGATTGGACAAGTGTTTGAGCAGATACATTTGAACTTAACCATAGATGAATGAGGACCTCATGACTGTGCTAGATCTAATTAACACAGAATCACTTGCTTGTCTCCACTAAGCTGTAAAAACTGACACTGGACGGCTGTCTCAAGCCCTGCCCATAGTAAATATGCAATATTAATTAAGTCTGAGGTGTGAAGCAAATTAAATACCGACAGTGAGCTCTAGCAAAGAAACAGCTTCAAAATTCATCAACTTGCTTCAACCGAAGTGTGCATTATATTTTGTTAAATACTTTTTCCAGACACAAGCGTAATTTGCAGAGACAATTTTATGCAATTTCTAGATTTATTTGCCCCAAAACCATATACACTGCACTGCACATGGTACTATCAAAAGGCCCGTTCACACAAAGAACAATAGCTATTAGCGTCCATGCCAACGCTCAATATCAGTTTATGATAAGCACGTGCTGCAGTGTTTGTCAGCTGCATTAAATGTCCCAGCTCTTTAAAGTAGGATTGATTTTGATTGGCTGCCAATGTTTTTATCGTTCATCAGCTAGAAAAAAAAAAACATTTCTGTAAGTGATTGGAACAATATTGTTTCTCTGTGCTGTTATCATTGTATCTGTGGTGTGGACTACTTTTCTTTTACATTTAGAAAGAAAAACTAGGCCAAGGCCTATATCTTTTCGTTATCATCCTTGGTGTAAACAGGCCTTTACTCCATTTGTTTGAGCATCACAAACAACCCGACAACACAATACTGGCTCAACCAATGGTGTACATTTGGGGGCGGGGCTATTCCTGTGTCCAACCAATGGAAGCACGGGAGATCTTTAGGAAACCTGTTTTTTTTTTTTTTTTTTTTCATTTTTTTATTCATGTCCCTAAACACATAAACAAAATTAAAGGTCTGATACTGTAAATGTACGATTTATGCAAAATCTTCTGAGATTCAAAATCCTAATGTCAATATTTTTAAAAATCCGAGACATTTGTCAGGAGATGTGTAAACTACAATTTTTAGTTATTGAGGATTTAATAGATTTAATTATAGCACAATTTTAAAACAATTGGTGTGCCTGAAGTCATGGTTAGCTATGTTTCCAACATCCACATATTTGTATGCAAATTTTAGGATATTGCAGAAAAAGAAAAAAAAAGGCTGGATGGAAACACCAAGGCGTGCATAAATTCTAAAAATGTACACAAAAAAAATGTATCCACTTAATTGAGGCGGATCATTTTTATATCCAATGATCAGACATGCTCTTAAACTATGATTATAGTCTATTTTGCAATGGGTTGCAAGCATTTTCTCAAGGAAACATCCAAGCAACGTGTTCTAAGAAGCCAATAAACAATTTTCAATTTTGCCAAGCAATACAAGCAGCATCATAAAATACTCCAAGTTTGTTGGAAAATGTCCCAGCCAAGTGAACACAATCTGACAGTGCTACAAAGCTTTACAAGTCAACTTTATTATGATCACCATTTTGAGAAGCAATTTTCCAGCAGACTGTCAAGAAACTTGGAATGCCTCAACGCCCCCATGAAATAGCACATTTAAGTGCATCTAACTTTAGTTCTGATTAAAAATCCTGCATTCCAAGAGTCAAGCTGCCACTTGATTCCCAATCAACGGTGCAGATAAACTGGCTCTACTAGTCAAAGTGGTGACTCTGTTTGCAACTTGATGCAACATAACCAAGACAGTTTAAAATAGCTCAATACATGAAATACTTGCAGGCATCCTCTACAAAGGAAATGTTCACCCAAAAATTAAAAATCTATTAATATTAAAACATCCTCATTTCAATTCAAACATGTATTAATTTCTTTATTCTGTAGAACACAGAAGCAGAATTTTTGAAGACAGAACATATAATTTCATAGAAAGGAACCAGATCTTTCAAACTGACAAACACCATATTATATTCCAAGGCTTCTAAAGCCATATGATAGTGTATGAAATGACTGAAAATTAAATTGTTATTCATTGACATTATGTATTTTAATGATTCATTAATGAATGAATAATCCTGTTCTCAAATTCAATTTGGTCCAGTTGTGTGACACATTTTTTGGTGAATTATTCCTTCAACATTTGAGTCAGTAATGGAAAAACTAGCTAACAACAAATACTGTACAGTAGCCAAACATTCAAGATTCTAGTTCAATGTATAAATTGAAGAAACTGCCACTGCATAACCCATCTAAGTAATGTTTATTGGGGAAGATCAGATGTACGGTATACCCTGCTGACCATACATAAAACTGATAACTAGGTTTATGAACTCTTCAATCAGACGAAATCGTGCTCCACTCTTTAACGTAAGAGCGAATTCAGTGCTAAAAAGTATGTTTTTAAAAAAGGAAAGAAAAAACGAATACTACAGTAAATTAAATATAGTTATTACCAAAAAAAAAAGCAAGACAAGTCCAGTGTAAAATCAGACAGTATAACCCTGTTACAGCAGCCAGCAGTAAAATTAATCTAATTACCACTAAGCACTCATATAATGATGACTTACACAAGCTGCTCTTTAATCCAACTAGTCTTCCAGCAAAATAGGGAAGCTGTTTCTTGAATAAACAAATTTGTGACCTGTTCCATGACGGTGTAAACTTTTTTTTTTACTTTCCAAATTAAACAGAATGAATGGATGCCCTGCTGGAAAATCCATCTTAAATCGGCAGTAGGAATTGACACACGGTAGATGGTTTCTAGACATCTAGAGAAAACACAAACCAGCTGAAAAAAAAAACCAAACAAAAAACAGCTACCACTAAGTCAAACTGTTTTTGGAACAGGGTTCTAGCTTGTAGACAGCCAAAAATCATCTACCAGCTGGTAATGCCAGCTTATAGTGGTTTCTGGAACATTGTACATGGTCAAACTAGCTAATAACCAGTTCCTGAACACAGCTAATGTTACTAACTTAAGCTGGATGTTCCAGCAAGAAACAGAATGTACCCAGTAATACCCAGTGTGCACATCTACCAGCAAAGGCCCCTTATAGCAATATAGATGATTTGTACAGACATACAGTTGACAGCGTAGAAGATATAAGCATAATGCATTGCATTAACACGGGTTTAAAAAATGTATATATGGAACGTTCGCAGGGCTCCATGCACGAGCACAATGACATCACTGCAGATTTAAATGTAAATGCATTCGAACGCAGAAGGTGACACGGAGTCGAACCCAGTTGCATCTGTAGTTTCCCATTAATACGATGCATCGCAAGGTGAGATACATGCATTGCAGCGGGGTCTGGTGGGGGAAATAAAGCCAATGAAACACGAACAGGCCTTCTGATAAACATTGGCTCAGAGAACTGCAATGAGAGAATTATAAATGGCGTCATTCGGAAATGCACCTTGCGAAAATGCATAAGCGCACGATATAAGATTTGGTCGACTTATATATTGGTGCACCATCTCTCTCCCCTGCAATGCATTGCATCCCCCCACGATCCGTATTACAGCCGGTGTTTCCTGAACATCTCCATCCAGCCCAGCTACGCTCTACAGCCGAGCTCTTCTTCAACCCTGACTCCCCCATTGTACCTCCTCGGGAATGTCCTGTTGACATTCGGGGATCGCCGCTCCTCCTGGACAGGCAGGTTCGAGCCCCGCGCCCAGCTCGTCCAGTCCCGGGTCCCGCTCCGGATCGCGGTTCATGCTGTCTCCGTTGAAGACGGGCGGTGGGGACTCGGCGCTGCTCAACGCCGCCATTTTAAACCACGAGAAACTGAGTGGAAAATAGAGGAAAGTAACAGAGAACGAGACAGGAGGGGGAGACAGATTCACCAAATGTAAACCCGTTGAGGGGTAAATGCAATGGGGATACTGGACGCCGTCCAATACACTAATATTAAAGTGTATATTCTAAAACGAACAATCACAATTATGTTTCTGCCATGTCTTTCATTTAGTTTATCTGGTTGGTTGACCATTTCAAGGCAGCCGTTTAATCTAGAAACTGATTTTGCTCTGCATATAACTAACTTTAATATGAATATTACCTATAAAGACTGAACAGAGTGACTTGTAGTATGAACTTCTGTAGACTTCTAAAATATGAACATCAAGCCTGTTGTTCAGTCTTCTACACTTTTTTTAGTAAGTAATATTTTAGTATTATTTTATAAAGTAAACATAAGTAGCAATATTTCAAGATGGACATTTGCAGGAAAGAAATGTTATTGTCTTCATTCTTATATATCTTTTTAAAGAAGATACAAGTATCAAAAATGATACAACAGGCTATTGAGAAATGTGTATTTGTATCTCTCAAATATCATTGTATTGCATTACATTCTGTGTTGCCTGCCACATTTAAAACTACAAAGCATTGATCATAAAACTAAGCATTTAAATGCCATCTTTACTAAGACATACTACTGGGAGATGGAGAGTAACAACTGATATTCATAGTAGTTTGCTATACTGTTGTACAAATCTTATTGATGTACAACATTTTTTGATTTGATAAAAAAAAATGAAATAAAGACATAACAAATTACATTAGCTGCATGAAATGCCATATTTTTGTATATATAAACTGAGGTTTTCTCCTTGAGTGTAAGCTCCACATTCTCACCATATCATGGTTTATAAAAGTCTGATGTGTCAAATGATACAAAATAAAGCCATGATGCAAATATTTAAACTTTTAGGCAATATTAAATAAAAAATTAAACTGGTCGGTTTCAAAAATTAGATTTTTTTCTGAGTTAAGCATGGAAACCTTGTAAAATAAATTACATAATTGATTATCTAGTCAAAAACATTTTCTCATTGTTATTTGCGATACATCATAGTATTTGAGTAGCATTACTGTTTTCTTTTTGTTTATGCAGTATCATCATCTTTTTGTGTACACCTACAACTGTCTATTGTGTATGCTAATGTAAAGTGTCCTTGAGCTTTATAAAGCCTCGATATAAATTAAACTTAATACGTTTGACAGAATAAACCAGAAAATAGGAACTTAATCTGCTACACAAGAATATTTTAGAGATAAAGAAATGATCCTCTATAGGACAGAGGATAGATCCTCTTGTGCCTGTGATTCTTGGAGGAAGATTTTTTTTTAAGATGTTTGGAATTATGTCGGGTAACAATGGCATGTCATCCACAACCAATGTTGTTGTTACATAAATACGACATTTCTTTATATGCTCCTGCAAATTTTTTATTATGGTTCAATTACAATATATGGTGTATTGATTTGTGGGCATAAATGTAACACTATAATATAAATTATTTTATGTATGTAGTCTATGAATAGGGCGTTTTTCCTCTCTTTTCTCTCCTCTTTTTCTTACTATATAAAAATAAAAAAAAACCTCATGCTTGTGCACTAATAGTTTATTCAGAATTTTTTTTATTCTTTTCTTTCAGTGTAGTCTTAGGGAAAGACAAACCTAAATGTGTTGGTTAGGTAATCTTAGGATGTTCCATTATGTAAAACTGGCAACACTCTGCAGAAAAACATAATCAAAACAATGTCAATTTAAAAAAAAAAAAAAACGGCTATATGAAGGTGCAAAATGTACAAAAAAAAATCATATTTAATTTCCATTATAGATGTCATGTTTCAGATTTTTTTCCCACCACAATCTTTGCTAATATAATGTTGCCACTGTTATAAACAATGTCCCATTGTCCGGTGTTTAGCTCAGTTTCTTCATCAGATTCTCAAATGTCTGTTCATAAATAGCTGAAATGTGTTGGTCTACTTCTTCTTTGTGGCTCTCTTCCCTTCTCCCTTCTTAGGTTTTCCTTTCCCCCGCAGTTTCCTCAAGCGTCTCATTTCCTCCTTGAAATCCTGGTGCTCATCCCTAAAACAATACCAGTAAAATGTCATCAATAAAAACAGAAGTATTTGAAGATAAATTGTTGTTCATATGTGCACTGTAATATTATACCAGAGCCTACCTGAAAAGTCCCAAATATCTGAGCTTCTGGGTCATTGAATAGTAAATCTTGTGCGGGGGGTACCAGTCATACACTTCTTTTCTCTGGGCCGGAGGGGGTTCTTTAAAAAACCCAACCACTTTCATAGACTTGGAATCTGTGTGACGGGACACATCTCCAAATATTCGGGCACTCAGACGGGCCATGCGCAGGGCATAGCTAGAAAGACCAGCCATCTTCACCTAACAGAACACACAGATAAATGCATTAATTAAATGACTCGTGCATACATTAATGTAGATAGATAGATAGATAGATAGATAGATAGATAGATAGATAGATAGATGATAGATAGATAGATAGATAGATAGATAGATAGATAGATAGATAGATAGATAGATAGATAGATGGATAGATGGATGGATAGATAGAATTCCATATCTTTAAATTAATAAGTGCATTTTATTAAAGAGGTTGCAGTTGTTTTGTAGACACCTGGCAAATAATTGATTCAAATATGGTTTGCTTACCCTTTATTAAAATCCCGAAAGAAGCAGGTGAGGTCCAAAAATATAGACGTTATTGTAACGGCATGTGGACATTAGATACTGAACAATACAGACAATTCAATAACTAGTTTAAATACTCGGTTATGTTTAGTAGTCAGTTCAACCTTCATACGCTCATACCATACATACACACATTGGGGAACATGAGAGATGAGCATGCGCGCAGCAGGTCAAGCACTTCCCGTCTTAGTTCCTTAAAAACAGTAAAATGTGACATGTCAGTCAATATGTGAAGTGAAATTTATTTTACTCACTTCTAATTTCCCTGGGTTTAATATTTTAAAAGCTTATGAGAAGATCTTTCTGTAATAATAAGACTTATCGGTGCTACAGATTTATTTTTTTATTTGTAAAACTACGGCTTAAAGGACCTGGCCGTTGATGATACTTCATTATAAAATAAATGAGATTTCGTGTATTCACTCAGTGATTCATGACAGTCCGTGTACGTGACTTAATCTTAACACAACTAAATATTACGTTTAATAGAATCAAAATATAATTTTAGCGGTTTGTTTTGTTTTGGCATTCTCTTTACTTTGGAAAATGTCTCGTACGTCACAGGAAGTCGTACTCCACCGTAATCATTCCGTATGCGAATATTTGACGGGATAAAAGTTCCGTCTTTGTAACGGTTTACATATAGAATCAAAATATAATTTTAGCGGTTTGTTTTGTTTTGGCATTCTCTTTACTTTGGAAAATGTCTCGTACGTCACAGGAAGTCGTACTCCACCGTAATCATTCCGTATGCGAATATTTGACGGGATAAAAGTTCCGTCTTTGTAACGGTTTACATATTGACATATTTACACAGTTTGTGGTTATGTATGTTCACATATGTTATGATTATGTGATAATCGTTTAATTATTTAAAATGAACTTTCTTCATATTTACTTTTAAATTTAACACGAAAGTAACTTTTTTCATTAAATGGGTTAACACGTTTTTTACAACAATGTGCAGTATTGAGCACGAGGTTATTGGACAAAAATACAAATATTATTTTATTTTAAATATATCTAAAATAATTTAAAACCATTATTATTTAACCAGTCAATGCTTGTGTGACGCACACTAGATTTGCTGTGATATCTTTGTTCACTAGATGGCGATATATTAAAGACATTAAAAAAGAAAGAAGCACTGAAGCCGAGATACATAAATAAATAAATAAATAAATAAATTGATTGACAGCTCTCTGGATTAGCATGACAATCACGTTTTTCTTTTCCTTCCAATGGATGTATCTATTAACACAGTTCTGGGGACAAAAAAGGAACAAGATAACACATCCTCAAATAACACAAGACAAATAGGCCAAACCTTGTCTATCGGCTGCATTTTTTAGATTACATTGTTCAGTTTTCAGTGTTAGCTGCAAATAAGTTCCAAACAAACTTTGCCTCCCTTAAAATGTAATTAAAATGTAGCTGTCAAGCTGTCATTCTGCTCCAGAGAAAATTATAGTCCGACAGAATTCAATAAAGAAAATACATCTTTGAATACAAAATAGTCAATCCAATGCAAGTCAATATTATGCAGTTTCACACCCATTTAGCAAATTATTTCACATTCAATATCTGACAATAGCTATCGCCCAGAACATGGCATAAAGATCCACTTAAGTAGTTTCCTTCAATTCTTTTCACTTCTAGATTAGGACAAAATTAATATTGAAAAAGTTGTTCACTCAACTTCTGACTTTTAAATGCAAAACATATCAAAGTTTTTGTTTCAAGTATATGTGTTTGTCATATTTTAATGCAAATAATATTGATTTTGTTCACTTTATTGCATGTAGTTTTAGTAAGAAAACTTTACAAATAAGGTCCCAAATAAGGTGATTTCTTCAACAAAAAAAAAAATTGTTTTGTAATGCTGTCTAAAGTCCCGCACATCCTGATATCAATCACTATATAAATGGTCTAAATGTATTTTATATATATATATATATATATATATATATATATATATATATATATATATATATATATAGGCTATATATCTATATCCTGTGGAAGGCATAAGACCATAACATGTTCATCCAATAATTGCATTTGGTCCGAATGTCATCAAACGAACAAACGAACACGAACAATGTCATCTTTGCATTCAAAATGTCATTATTGAGCGAAAGACACTTCATGACAGTTGTCATAAACATGCATAAACCCTACTTCATATTCAAGACATTAGTCATGCCATGGTTATGAAGGTGCCATGTCAGGCTTATGCACACACACCCCTAAGTAAAGTGTTACCCTTTGTTCAAAACATGTTACTAGTTCAAGTCCATTTACTAACAGATACAACATTTGATTTTAATAGGGCTAATTTATTAGTAAATGTTGAGATTAGCATTAACTAAAATTAAGATATGCTTTAGAACTTTTTTCATTGCTAGTTCATAAATATAAGGGAGAACAAATTGAACCTACTGTGTTACCAGAAAACATATTATAAAATAAGTAGCCTCTCAAAGGTGAAAATTGTAGGCTATCTAAAACATTTGGCCTAATATTAAATAAGTGGCCTGCTAACTGTTTATTTCCCATTAAAACTGCATCTTTACTAACGTCTAGCCTCATCGATCTCGTTTACATACACCTACACAAAAAAACACAAGAGTCCCAAGATTATCTGAAACTGTGTGGCAGTGTGGGCAACCCAATAAAACAGAAAATGTGTGTACAAGGGCCTCTCAGACTGCACTCACACAGATGCCACCACTCTCATTCATTATTCAGCAATATACCTGACTGCTGTTGGTTCTGGACAGTGCATAGTGGTTTCAAATAACAAACCTTTATGAAAGGCTTTTGGTCTGGTGTAGTATCATTTTATAGCTCTGGTGATGCAGAATGACAAAATGAAAGATTCTGCAACCTTTGATTATTTATTCATGAAAGACACTAGTTAACTCCAGTAAGTGTAAATCTAAGAGAGAATGCCAGCAAAGCAACTCCAGTTACAGTTCCGACACGGAACCGAGAGCAGTATAGCGACTCCTTTAAGAAGCCGCTTTAATAAACAATGAACATCTCATATTGACAGCATGACATCACCGCTGTTTTTCCCAGACAGAGGCAACATGCACGGAGGATGTTGGTACCATATTGTCCGAGGAAGAGGATGCACAATCCGCCAAATGGTCTGATATCGATAGACTCGTTTAAACGCGAAGCTTTTGAGATGCGGCGTCGTTGAACGGTTTGATATTTCCTGCGCGGAGCATTTATAAACGCGTGTCGCTGTTGAAAAGGATCATTTGGCAGGGGATTTCAGCATATAGCGTATAATACAGTCACTGCTAACGCAAAATGGTCTGGCGATGCATTATTGGAGTGGAGTGAACCCGTTTTGTCAGTTTTAATTGGGGTGAGTGCGGATTTTAATTTACTTGATCAGTCTTATAAACGGGGCCCGTGCTATGGATGCAATAAGAGCATGTATTAAACATTCCTTTGCATGAATGATCTGCTATTGTGATCACAATATACATTTGATTTAAATAACGCTTAATTAATTGAATTAATGTCGAGTCATCTTAATAGGCTACATTTCTCTTTAACAGTCAGCAATGTCATAAATGTTTTTTTAATGCATCCTATATAGGCTATTCCAGTGAGAATGTATGAGAAAATAAACCTGACTGCCGCGCGACTGTGCTGTGCATTTCTATGAAATAGATATGTAACATAAACCGGAAAGCAAAAATCTATAGTCTGTCAGCGCCAACCTAAATGGGAAGGGTTGGGAACCGAAATCCATTTCTGTTCTTTTGACGGTCCTTCAACAATTACCGTCATTAAAATGAAAATAATTACGTCGTTAATCGGGCTATTCTTCCGCATATGCGGACGGAACTAAAATACTCTTGACACACAGTTTCCAGCATTAGCAAATATTCGCTGAATTTACCGATTTTTCGACCAGTACAGTCCGAGATTCATTCTTAAGAGCTACTTCTTTTTAGTGAATTAAAACATTAAGCATAGCTACCAAAAACGTAGTCCAACTCCCGAACTAACTCTTTATGAGCTGGTTCTTTTTGTGAATTGATAACATAGAGCATGCCGTGAACATTCTAATTCGATTCCCGAACGAATGACTCGGTTATTTTTGAATGATTCAAAAGCACTTGATCATCATTGGTTGAATGCATTTTTAGAGCAACGCAGGTCTAGGAACGGATATTGTCATTTGACCACCAGCACAGTTAACGAATCGACAACTATGCAATTGCAAAAGACTTACGAAAACAACTAACTTAGGCCCCTAACGTTGTTAGGCTGTAGGCTATTTGTTATGTAATTTTTTAATGACGACAAAGCTCATGGAAGTTTCATCATTTTTAGATGCTTGCTAGAGACACACCTGAATTAATCAATTTGTCCAATAATGGCAGACAGGAAACAAGGAGCTGGCTTAAGTTCAGGAAGTAGTGAAGCTGTGCATGAAGCCAATTGAAATGTATATAGCCTAGCCTACTTGAATAGGGATCCACACACACCTTTTCTGACTTCCTTGGGGAGGGATAGGGGCTTAAATGGCATTTTGCCTTTAATGCAGCTGTAATAACAATGGTTAAAAAACCTTTGCTTTTCCTCTTCTTTTTTAAGGCTTAGTTCGTGTGAACGAGGACCTGACTGAATCGTCTTGTCTGGTTTCATCACTGTTATTGGATGGGAAGGGCTACGGATGGACCTTAAATAAGGCTTATATTTTCTGTCGGGCTTCAGCTCGAGGTCTTCAGTAGAAACAGATTCCACTGCACCGACTGATATCAGTTCTCTCAGTCCGCGTGCCCGGCGGGATGCGGGTGCACGTCGAGGAGCTGTCCAAGCTGTTGTGGTGCTGACGCGGCTCTGAGCGAACGCGAGCATGGCTGCTGGGAAGTTGCTGCTCTACGCCGGTCTGTCTCTGTCCCTCTGCGCGCTCGGGATGCTGGCAGTGGCTATCTGCTCCGACCACTGGTACGAGACGGACGCCCGGAGGTACCGAGAGAGGTGCCGAAGTTTCTCCAGCCGCCGGAAGGACCCGGGCTTTATTTACATCCCCAACAACAGCCTCCCTCTGCGGGCGAGCCGCTCGCGCCTGGACCACTGGGAGGAGAAGCTGCTGCTGGCGCGGAACAGACGGCAGCTGTTCGCCATGAGCGCCGCCGATGAGTGCAGCAGGCAGTATAACTCCACCAACATGGGGCTGTGGAGCAAATGCCATCGACTTGGATTTGATCAAGATGTCGAGGACTTTATTCGAAAAGGTAGGACAGTGACGTTTTGTGTCTCTCAATGTGAAAGGCAGATGTGATATCATACTCTTATTAGTGTTTGCAAGACAGCAGTGTACCGATATCCCTCAAAATTCTGGTCAAGGTTTGTTCTGAAACCGGAACATTAAAACTATTAATTCAGTGTGAATCGCTTAACATTATATTTAAACTACTAGTTCTGCTATCTATTTCTAATTCATAAACAGTGTAGGCCTATCTTTTAGATAAACCAATAGGCTGTTTAACCGATATTTATTCACAATTTTCTACATAATTCTGTGATGGGGTCAACCGATAATTAATCAAGCAACATTTTACATAACAACCATTCATACTTTAATCCAACAACAATAAATATTATAAGATATTATTAACTTAAGCATGAATACCTGTTAAAAAAAACATTTAAAAAATGGTAATTAATTATCGGTTGACCCAGAGAACCTACATTATAATTGTTATTATTATGGTCATTATGTATATTCTACTAAATCAATTTCTTTTTTGTTTAAAGAAATAAAATGAAAATCGGTTTTACATCGTTCACAATATAAAGTGGCAGCCTGAATGTTTGAAACTTTAGCACTACTCTTTGCCAACCAGCAAGCACATGTACTACTTTCAGAAACAGCAAATCTAAAAAGCATATCTCTTTGCATTGCACGATTTACTAAAACACTGAAACATTTTCATTCATAAACTCTGAACACAAATTAATGTCAGCCTTCTAAACTGGAGGCTCACACTATAGGCAATACTGCCCCATTCATGTGTACAGACAACACCACTCATGTATTATCTGGAGCGATGAGTCCTTTGCATATGAAGGTGCGAAACCCCATGGCTAGTCTCACATTATGGGACTTATTATCTTCCACCAAACTAAGTTAATTTACTCCTCAATGGTTAGAGGCTTATGTATAATGAATATATTAATAGCTACACACACGCACACACACAAAGGATGTCTATAAATATATCCTGAGCCTCAAACTATGTCAGCCCAAACACCGTAGGCTGTGCTTCAGTCAAGTTACACCAAAACAATAGGCCCAGAGTTGCTGAGAGTCGCATACTCTCCGGTTACACGCCAACCTCTGTCTGCAAATGTGCGCATGTTCTGGGAAAGTAGCAGCACAAAATGCACTCTAAAATAAAAACAAGCTTAATTCCGCTTATTTGAATCGTGTCACCTCCGCTGGTACCTGTGCCTAATGTGTGTGTGTGTGCCATTATGTAACAGGGATTTTGTGGTGAAGAGGTGCCCCTGTAGTGCTGTGTGTTATGACTGTGTGCAGCACCAGCCGATTGTGTATTGCACCATCAGCAAAAGCTCATTTAACTCTCTGGGGCACCTGCCAGCCACATACCGCTTTCTGTTTTGGGGTGGGGGTTGCATTGATAGAACAATGCAGCGTTATTCTACACCATCTCTGCCATTCACCTTGGGGCGATGAGTGATGATGCAAGTAGCAGTTTGCCTGTGTGTCTGAGATATAACGAAGACTTAAGAACAATTTGTCATTAGTTGACTGTGGTTTTTTTTTTTTAGTTGAAAACATGTATTGTTCTGACAAAGTGTGTGCTTTGTTTGGTAAATATTTGTCAATAGCCACACGTCTTTATAAATAAATGTGTGAATGCTAGCGTTACATTTCTTTTTTTTATGATTATTCATATCATTATCTGGGTTGCAAGCACATCGTTTTATGAAATGTGCTGACTGTGCTCATAATGGCATTGCCCATCTCTCAGAGGAAGCTTATTCTCTCTCTCTACCCAGGATCCTCTCTTGGGAGAGAGAAGGGGGAATAGAATGATGAATGAGAGAGCAAAGCAGTAGTGCACAGATAAGGGGTCAAAACTTGAAGTCATTCATTGGGAATGAAAAATGCTCCATTTAATCTTGCTATTATATTTTTTTTGTGGGAATTTAAATTAAAACTTTTTCACAGACTCCAGCTTAATTAGCAAAGATAACTAAAAGTAAGCCATTCGAGGGATGATTCCAGTTAATTTTGTAAAGTAAAAAAAGAAAAGAAAAACAATAACAAAGACGATTTAATAGATAATTTAAAGATTGTATTTATACTGTTTACGAAAATATTACAATATAAAATCTAATAAGATATACAGTGCTGGTCAGAATTATTTGGTAAATATGATGGCTGTAAAAAAATAAATTAGGCCCACAGCATTAAAGATACAGCATTAAAGGTACTTTTTTATCCATACTGTATGTGAACCAAACCCATATTAAAAGGATAGTTCACCCAAAAATGAAAATTATGTCATTAATGACTCACCCTCATGTCGTTCCAAGCCCGTAAGACCTTCATCTTCAGAACACAGTTTAAGATATTTTAGATTTAGTCCGAGATCTTTCTGTACCTCCATTGAAAATGTATGTACGGCATACTGTCCTTGTCCAGAAAGGAAATAAATACATCATCAAAGTAGTCCGGTTAGTTAGAATGTTTTGAACCATCGAAAATACATTTTGGTCCAAAAATAACAAAAAGTATGACTTTATTCATCATTGTGCTCTCTTCCAGGTTAAATATTCTAAAAATATTTATATTTATATATAATATAAATTATACATAAATCTATATACAGTATATACATGAAAATATTTATTAAATATATACAAGCGTGTGTGTGTGTGTATTTATATATATATATAAAATAATTATACACAGTGCACCCACATGTATGATGTAAACACAAAGTTTGGATGCGATTATTTGCGATTAATCGTTTGACAGCCCTAATATGTGTATATATATTGTCGAAAAAAAATCTTGGTTAAAAATAAAGACTGTAGCATTCTTATTCTCACAACAGCAGTTGCTCGGGTTTTGCAGAAACCCGGGAGTGTGTGATTTGTGTAGAAATGACAGTTCACCTTTAAGAATTGATTAGCACTATGCTAGAGAATGTTACTTCTATCACTGGTATTATCCTGGAAGATTTCACATTGTAGCAATATATTGCAGCACAGAGGAAATGGTCTATGTTAGTAGTTTGTAGAAAGATAAACCTGTGAAATAGGAAATGATGCGAAAGATGGCAGCATCTGGAGTTTGTGGAAAACTGAAAAAGTCTATCTGAGTGAGAGTGTGAGAGGATGGAGAGATCATGCAGAAACAGCCAACCCATCTCATTGTCCACCATCTGTCCCTGCATGCCTCCCAGAGGGACACCCATCAGGGATGATGAAGACATTTTAGACCTGGAACGCAAACACAGCGACAGGAGAGTGAGATCCAACCTCCCACCATTAATACAGGCAAACCTAAAGATAGGGAATGAAAGAGAGAGAATTGAGATTTGAAACACATACGCAATTAGCAGCAAAAAATGGAGTACGGAGTACGGACCGAACAGATCTCAATTGAGACTTTATTTGGCACATTTGGACATTAAAGCTCACCTTAATATAAGAAAGGCCCTCCAAATCCATTCTTGCTCAGCAGGCTAGAGTGTAGACAAGGATTGGATTATACTTGAGTTCTCAAAGGATCTGGCTTCCTTGTTTTCAGTGTTTAAATTGGATGCCATGGGAGGAAGACGCCACACCTTCACAGTTCAAACAGTAAGCCGCACTGGGACCCGGGCGCCGACACTAATAAAAAATACACAGGTGTTGGGGTGGGATGCTGGGTACATCTCTTGGGAACAAGGAATAGACTGTACAATGGAGTTTTTATCGCTTTGAATTTCCGCTTACCATGATTTTTTTCCAAAGCAAATTATATCACAGAAATTGGGTGTGACTTTCAATAACGTGTAGAGAAAGGGAAAAGCGTTCAGTAATTTTCAAAGCCAAGAGGCATTCAAGATCTTTGGAGGAACTACGCTGAAATAAATGAGGTATCCAATAACCTCGCTTTTCATTTTCTGTTACGGCTTTCATTTCCAACAAATAGTGAAATGCGACTTGACAGAGTGCTTGGACTCTGCAGACACGACCAGCAGATTATGATTTGGCCTCAAAGTGTGCAAAGCACCCTCATTAGTGCGGGGAGAATATTTCTCACTTAGTTTGAATAAGACATACAATTGTGCATTTAAGAAATGACATTGAAAATAGCATGCTGCTTGATAACAGCTTGAGCTCATATTACTCTCCCACTTCTGTTTGAAATTATGCTAATGTGATCATTGGTTACTACGTCGGGCAGATATCGACATTTTCATCACACCGTGAAATATCTCTGACCGGGGAGATGTCACATGGTTCTTCAATGATTTAACATGTGCTTTTGCTGAGGTTTTGCGCGGAGTGTGTTCACTAATAGACATTTTGGGGATTTATTACTGGATCTCAGAAGGACTAACCTAAATATCCTTTAAAAATGCTCATTTTCCTATTCAAAGCTATTTTTTTTTTATAACCCAAAATGCAACATTCGGGGTAATGTCACATCAAACATGATTTTTTTTTTAAATAGGTAAGTTAGGTATGCCATTTGAAAGAAGTTAATTTTGTTTGAAATATGTCAATCGGTTGATTGGATGTTGTATTTGTCGGCCGCAGCCTTGCGAAATGAGACCTAAACATTGAATCACAAGGTTTGAAAACCATTTAAGATTCCATTAAAGTCAGCATGAAATAAAATGTATCCTTTTTTACTTTCTTAATTCCCATTCCTGGCCTTATTATGCACAATTCATCAAAAGATGTCTTTCATCTAAACAGGTCTTAAAAAGTCATAATTGGTCATTAAACCCTTTTGTTTTTATGTTAACCCTCTCCAAACATCTGGCATATAATGTCTATTGCCTATTTTTTAAAATCCACCCATTTCCCGATTAAAAACAAACAAACAAACAAACAAGTCAGCGGCACATTTCACCTGACTTTAAAACGACTCCTCAATAAATCTGTTATTTTAGAACCATGCCTGGAAATCACTCTGGAAATAAGCCACCAGAATACTTCTCCCTAATTAAAACGTGTAATTATTTCCCTGTCACACTGCTGT